GCATGGGGCACAAAACTGTTGCGTTGCTGGGGAAAATTTGGGGAAAATTTCGACGGAGAAATGTCCACGTTTGTTGCCCCAGTACTAAACATCGCCACCTACCATGGGCCAAAAAGCAACAGTTTGTTGGCATCAGGGTCAAACGGTGGCCCAGTCCCCATTGTCATCATAATCATCTTCATCATCATGGACAATATCATCAAGCCAAACATCATTAGCAGTGTGTGCGTATCAATAGTTCAAAATATTTACAAAAAAGAGAAACAAAAGCAAAAAAAACAAAACGACGCGCGCTGTTAACAGCTTTGTCAATGTCAATGGTGGGCGTGGGCTGTGGGCAGTGTGGGCGTCGTGGGCGGGGCTGTGGCGGCGAGCGTGCCATAGTAGCAACTAGTGGCCGCTCAGTGGCTCAAATTACACAGCAACAGCTACGGCAGCAGCTACAAATTTGTTTACGCCTAATTGGACTACGCTTACAAGCCGCAACCACCCGAAAAGTATGCAACATAAATTTCAACGCGTTCGGTAGCCATACCCTGCACAAGGATTCTTCGCGTGGGTATACTTAGGACGAAAGTAACTACAAGGCAGAATAAAGATAAAGATACGAACACATATAGTTATTGGATCTTATTCAAAATCTGATCAAATAGTGCCATAAGCTTGAAACTAAGGCAAATGGGATTCCATCTTCTTGTCTTTCTAAGCCCAGAAACCCATAACTATTTTTTTTCCTGACTTTGATAGTTGGTTGGATTATATAGTTTTAGCAAATGAAAGATTCTGTCTCAATTTGTCTTACCAACAAAATAAATGCTCATTGAATGCATCACAAAATTTCGCAACAGTCACAAATTAAATAGAGTCATAAATGAAGCTCAGTTTTCTGCTGATTGTGTTAGTGTTGCATATTTTATAGGCTTCCAAAACTCAACTTAAGCGCAGAACATTTGCTGCTACACCTTGCCATACCTTGCCCCAAAGCAAAAAACATAAAAGACAGCACTCAAAATTGTGCTACGTCTGAATAAGATTTTATGTGTGTGTTCTTTGTGGGGCATAAATCAGAGAGTAGCTCCAGACAATGGCCTGCCTGTGTGTGTGTATGTGTGTGTCTGTGTGCGTGCTTAGCTGCTGGCCTTGTCCACAAGCTCAGACTCGCACACACACATACACCCAGTCACAGAGCTGCGTTGTTTTTTTAGCAACTTGTGCTCCTCGTTGGGGCCATAAAAAGATTGCACATGGCTTCAGCTCGTTTCACTGGGCAATTTATAAGGCCATCGGCAGCAATATTTGAAAGCGGAACACAAAAGCAACAAATCTATGTACAACAAGTAACAAGTGCATTCGTCGGAAGTGTCCAACTAGAAGATATCCTGTACAAGGCTCTGAGCTGCTGTAGTAAGCATTTAATGTGAATGCTGTTTAGAACATTCTTGTCAGCTCCTTCTAACCACACCTACACACACCCAAACACACGCATACGTGTGCTTCTTCTTCCTCTAACCCTAAATCCTGGGAAATGCTTTCTTGATTAACTTTGTTGCTCCAATTCGAATCTGTTGTTAATTTAAGGGCTTTACAATGGCATATAAAATATTTGATGTACCAAAGGTCAGAGCTAAAATTAAGCTTTTACGATTTGGGCATGCTCAGAGGTATGCCCACAAAACAGCATATCGATATCGAAATTGATTTCGCGGTAAGGGGGAAAGGTTATCGATAATTTGAAATAAACTGAATCTGACATGGGAGGACCCACGTTTCTACATGTTCATACAATCGGACTGACAGACATACAAACAAACAGCCAGACATACATAGCTATATGGCTATTGATTGATCTAGAATATATATATATATATATTTTATGGGGTCAGACTTCTGCGTGTTACATACATTTGCATGCAATCATAATACTCTTTTTACGAATTTTCAATAAGTTTAGGGTATAAAAATGCGAAGTTAACTTGCACATAGAAAGTTGCTTTAATTAGTAAAAGTGCTTGCTACCCACATACACACTCGCACACACACGCACACACACACTGATAACTAATTGCAGCAAGGTGCATCAAATGCAAAGCTGAAACGCAATGAAACGCTTCAAGAGATTTCTCGATTGTCCTTTTGCCAATGGCCAATTCAATTTAATTAAATCTCTCCAATGTCTGCTAATGATGTGCACTTGAGCTGCGGTCGGTACAGCTGTGGTGGTGGGCGGTGATAGGCGTGGCTGTCACGCTACCTAATTGGCAGACAGGCAATTGAATGCAGTCGACGCTCGTTATTTGATCAGCCGAGGAGCTGAAGCTAATCAAATTCATTTGTAACAAATTTACACCTGGAAATCGCTGGCGATTACCTATACCTGCCAGCCCGGATGTAATGCCAGCCGGAAGTCGGCAAAGATGGCGGCGCCAGCGATGGCGACGCCATTGCCTGCTGTTAACAAGCAACGACATGTCCTCGGGGCCTTCCGGTGCGTGCGTGTGTACGCTTGTGTGAGCATGTGTGTGTGTGTGTGTGTAGAATATGTATCTGGTTCTGTATTAAAGCAAATTATGCCTTTTATTATTGCAGCCTTTACAGCAATGAAAATATCCCCAAAGCAACCGCACGACGCGTCGTGTGCTCCTGATTTCGGTTTAGCTAGTCCTGTTGCTCCACCTGAACACGGCCAAACTCATTACGAAAAATGAGCGTCCTGCGGCGTTCAAACAAAGCAAAGTCCCCGTACCTGAGGGCGGCCAACACGGCCGCAACCATGCCCAATTTATGTGTATACATGCATATGTGTATATGTTTACATTGCTTGTTTATGCCGAATATCAGGCACAAGAACAACCACCCACATATCGATTTTGTTTGATGTTTAGAGCAGACCAAAGCGGCCCAGGACACGCCACGGATAGCCACCCCAAGGCGCAACAGTCGCATTATCATCATCATCAACATCACCATCATCAACCTTCCCGTCGTCCTCGTTGACCCACCTTAATGCCTGCGTTAGCATTTACTTACCGCGCATTTTAAATATTTAAAGTGTGTAAATGCCAAATATGTATACTTATTGTAACTACAGGGTGCCCTTCATATCCTAAATGTTTCTATCAACTTCTAATAACCATTCGGCATACTGAAGTTGTATTCCATATTCCGATACGAAATATATCCTATTATAATAACTATTACTTATATTTTTACTTGTGAGCGAGATCAAAGCATAATTAACTTAGATCTCAAGCAAAGTATGTTTCTACCCATATTTGGTAGATGCCATTTGTGGCTACAGGAATTTAGCCCGGAACTTGTGTTTGAAAATATGTATAGCTTACAATATTTTCATTACAACGGGCATACTTAGAGACAAACTTATATCTATAATATATAATAAACAGTAACTAATCTGAGCTTGAACCAGGTTCTCGAACGGCTAGGGATAGTTGCTTAAGCTATCTAAATCTAGTAAGTTCAGTAAATCACCCTGTATCAAAGACATGGTAACAGGAAACTCTCGATTGAATTTGTAAGCTTTTCGCTACAGTTTTTGGAGCTGTTTCTTATGCGAAAACAATTACACTTGAGCTTCCAAATATTTTTCCAAATGTATTTGCCCTCCCGCAAGTTCTCTTTCTGTGTGTGTGTGTGTGTGTGTGTGGGCGTGCCGTGTATTATTATGGATGCTGTTACCTGACCCCTGGTTGTTAGCAACAGCCTGCCAGCCCATCACCTGTCGCCCTGTGCTACACAAGAGGGTGAGCATCTATTTATTTAGCTAGCTTTTGCTGCTGCTGTTGTGCTATTTGTAGTTTTCAGCAGTTAATTAGCTGACGCAGATTTGTTGCTGCCCGTGGGAGTTCATTAGGCAGCAGGCAGCAGCAAAAAAGAGCTCAAATTCTTCGAATTGTTTTTAAAAATAACCAGCAAGTGCTCACACGCGCACACACACATACACAAGCATACACATGCATGTATGCACACCCACACAAGCTTAGCTTTGTGTCAGCGCCTTTTTATTTCAAACGGGAATTGCATTGTGCCAGTCCCAATCCGCTTATGGCTGCTTCTGCTGCTGCTGCTGCTGCTGCTGCAGGTTGCAAGGCTTCAGCTTCACATCTCCATGCGACAAAATAAACAATGCGCTCAACAACAACACTTGATCTGAAGCGAGGGTTAAAGGGGGAGGTAAGGAATGTTGTAAGTGCTTTGCGTATGATAAAAGCTGGAGCTCTTCGCTGTTGTTGTTGTTGCTGCCGTCGCTGCTTATGAAAAATATTTGCACTCAATGCCAACACTCGACGCCGCCAACCCGTGCTGCTTGCTTCGAAAAACCAAAGCACTTTCATTAGCTTAACGCTCACGGTCATCCAATCCTCAAGCTCCCGCCCTCGCTTGTGTGGCAAGGTCAGGCAATGGCTTGCCCCTGCGCTAAGGCACAGCATAATTTCCTGGGGTAAAGCCAGGCGCAACCCGCACCAAAATGTGCTAAAAAGCCGCAGGAGAAGGCCGCAAACAAAAGCTGCAGCTAAAGCTTTTACAAGCTTAAGTGCAGGCGTATGTGTGTGAGTGTCTGTGCGTGCGTGCGTGCGTATGTGTGCGTGTGTGTATGGACATGCGGTATTAGGCAGCATGTCCTTGGCATAGCCACTGACGCAGACCTAACGCGCCTTTGCTAAATTAATACAAATATTTTGTTAATTAATTATTTATTGCACATGAGAGCAACACAGAACTTTTTGAAACTGACTTTGTCTTTGACGTGGACGTGGACGTTGACGTTGCGGTTGACATTGAAACTTGAACCGGTTGGTGGGTTGGATTTCTATAAAAACTAATCATCTCTTTATTTATTATTTAGCGTGTGTTATTGTTGCTGTTTTATAAATTTACAAGTTGTTGTATATATATAAAATATGTTCAATATTAATAATGATAATTGTAACAGTTTTGGATTTTTACAAAATTTATATTCGCATCAAAATATAAACCGAAAATTCGAACGTGTTAAATCATTATATTTCTGTGTATGTGAGTTTGTACGTAGTTAAATTCAACTAAATGTTGCAGAATTGTCGACTCTGTGTGGGGTTGTCATAAATTGTATTTTAACTTAAGTGTAATTGCCACACGAGTATCGCCATAAACCTCTCTAATGCTACGAGTATTTGTTGTTTATTATGCTGTGTATTAGGGCTGCTGCTGGGAGCTGTAATACTTTCGACTCAGCTGAACTTATGATGTACTACTTACTACACAAAGAACTTATGCACTATGTTCAGTCATGTCCAAGTTGTGTACATGTTAGTGTGTGTCTGTGTGTGTGTGTATTGATATTGAATGTACATGTTTTGGTGCACTATCAAAGCTCTGCTTGCTACAATGGCCTGCTGTTTGCGTTTGCGTTTGTGTGCCGTGTACGTGAACTAAACTAGGACATGACTGGTCTAAATATACATTCCATGAATGTGCTTAACGCGGCTGCCAAATTAAACAATTGAAGGCCATTAACAATGCTTAACATGGAAAATCAAAACTGTCGGTTAATTCAGACTTAAGATTAATGTTCACATACAAGTACTTAATAAGGCGTTATATGTTGGGCGGGGCGACTTCAGTGGTCAGCATACTATGTAAATAATTGTGTATTATTTATAAGTAATATATAGTTAATTTTTACAAGTCATTTCAATGAAATAAATAAACGGGCAGTAGCGCACAACTGTAACTATAAAATAAAACTGAACAAGCGACAACTGCAATTAATATTGTGCAACTGCCACATGTGGTGGCCAGCTGCTACTCCGCCTCCAGCGACAGCCGTCCGCCAGTCAGTAATAGTGGCGATTGATGCAGTGCCAATGCTGCTGCTGGTGCTGCTGGTCATTGACGTGGCTGCATTGGCGGCGCATGCTCGCGATATGTTTTCAGCTTTGTCTCCATGGCCTGCAAAGCAATTAAAAAATGTGATCAATAAATGGACAAGCAACAAAACAGACGACAAACGGCAACAAAAAACAAACATAGATTAAGTTACAAAAATAAAAATTGTTATTTATTAACAAAAGCAATTAATAAATGCAAGCGCCAAACAAAGACAATAGCCAAAAGCAATTACAAATCGTTTTTGTAAGCAAATTTATGCGTCACAACACAGGCGGCTCTGGCACAGGCTCAGAGTCCTGTATGCTGCGCATGCGTTCTGCGAAACGCTTAAATATGTTTGTGCCAAACTGAAGGCTACTTAAACTGCCGCGACGCTGTGCAGCATTGCAGTCGGTCCAGCCGCCATCGCTACAGGGCGTTGCCAGCGAGCCGCCGCCGGCGCTGCTGCCACTGACGCTGCCAAAGGCGCGGCGAAAGAGACTAGTTTCGCTGCCCGATGACAGCGAGGCACGTTCGCAGATGCAACGAAACTTTTGACATTCAGGACATAACAAGGCCTTGTCCCACTAAAAACATATGAAGAAAGTGTTGAACAAAAGCGACCACAACAAAAAATAACATAAAAAACATAGTTATAGCAAGGATATAGTTAGAAGAAGCGTTCCTGGCACCATGCATGGAGTGTGTACTTTTGTTTAAGGGACTTACGTTCAATTTTCTTAACATGTCGGCCACAATGTTGAGCGCCGTGGTGCGGGAGCTGGCATTCATAGCGTTGCCATTGATAAGGTTCTCGGGATCTGCAAAGGAAGCACACAACACAGCTTGGTTAGTTATATGAGTAGACTAGGCCTAAACACAATTAGTTAGCATTATGACAAGATGATTGTTAGTTACAATTGTTTAACGACAGATACAAACACAAACACACACACACACACACAAGCATTGCCTACGAAAAATGTTGCAAATATGAAAAATTTAGCTTACATTTAATAATTTTGTGCGTACAAATACAGATATGAAGAAAAAAAAAAACAATTTAAAAAACTTAAATATACAATTAACAAAATGTGCAATTTTCATGGTGTGGACACGCAGTGTGTTGTGATTGTAGCCTAGCTAAACTAAATGCAATTTGTTGGCTTGGAATGGCGACATTTTGATAATTTAAGTGCGCGTTTTGTTTGCTTCAATGAATTGAGTATCTTACTTTTAAGCGAATGTTGCTGTTGATTATATTCGTTCTTATTAGCTAAACTGCCATTTAGCGCACTGACGCTCATGCTAGACGCCTTTGTGGCGGCATTGTCATGTTGCAGCAATATATCACCGTTGGCCAAAATCCCATTGGGCAGCGATGCTGAGGAGTTCATCGAGCTGTTACCGGCTGATGCTGCTGTGCCATTAGCTGGCGTATAGCGCGACTTCACGTTAAGCTCTTGTTTGAGATCTGCAACAAGGGTTTAGTAAAACGAAGCATTAAAGTAAATTGCATGTGTAACTCACCGCGGGTCTCGTCCATTAGCCGCTGCAGCTTCTCCTGCAGCATTTCCTTTTCGTCCACCTCCATCTCGAGAAGTGCATTTTTCTCATAGGCTTTGTCCAACATTTTCTCAAAGTCTACTATGCTCTCATTGAGTATGCGATGCGCACGCTCCAGATCATCGTTTTTCTGCTCCAACTGTCGCAGGTATTCTTTCATGGAGTCACGTTCTTTTTTAACCGCCTCCAACTGTTTATCCAAATTTGACATTTCGATGCCGTGTGAATCTAGCTTGAGCTGTGGCAGAAATAATAATTTAATTAAATCAGATTTGATTTTCTTAATTACACGCACCTTTAGTGAATCATTTTCTTTCTCTAACATATTAAGCTTGGCTCTGAGATCTTTGATTATACTCTGTTTTTGTTCCAGAGTTGCGTCCATTTCGGCTTCCATTTCTCTCGACTGTTCAACATATTCATCATATTCTTGTTTAACATCTGTCCACCTGCAGAAATGCAAATTCATGGCATGAGCTGAAGGAGAACTCCCACTGCCTCTTCCACTCCATCCACACTTACTCTTTATGGTACTGTTTTGAGCGTTCTTTCCAGTATCTGCACTCATCCTCGACGCTGTTAAACATTGGTGGGGCCTCCATTTCGAGTGCTTTATTTGATGTTTACTAGTCGGTGGTCAAACTGGGTTAGAAATGTTCGTTCGTTCGTTGCTTATTGACTTTTCTATCTAACTATTACTAAGCAAATTCGTTTTTTTAATTGGCCTGTTGCTTATGTTTTGTGGCACTTCACTTCCAAATTTCTATTTTAATAATGCCAAAACACAGTTGTTGCGGTTAAGTCAGTGATCTGAGAGCGTTGCTGAAAATGTGAAAAATCAATTAGAAACAGGTGTTCTCGGCATTGTTGTTGTTATCGCTGTTGTTGTTTTTGCTGTTGTTGTTGTCTATGCCGCCCTACATCGGCAGCTACATAAACATTTGTGTGCGTCGCTGACGTCGCCGCCAGTTTGGCTCTACGTTTCCCGTACCTAAGCCAACAACAGCAAAACAACAACAACAACAACGACAAAAACAACAAGCGCGTCAATGCAAAGATACGACGAAGTTTCCAATACAACAACGCGCAGCAGCACCACCACAAAATGAAATCATCGCACATTTTCACACGCCTGTTTTGCCATTATGCGACTGTTATTAGACATTACAGCACACGTAATGCTAGTTGGCATACATTACTTACACTTTACGAATTATTTGACTATGTTTGCTTTGGTTTATTTACATAAAAACCGCATATAAATAGTTATGCCTGTAAAAATTTACCACTACTCCAAAATGCACAAACCAACCTGTAGCCCTGGCGCAGTGTTGTAAAGTACGCGTGGCAACCAGCCCTGTGCAATACAGTCGATACCTTTGTTGCAGTTAAATTTAAATGCACAATTTATATTAACTAGTTATATATATTTTAAAATAATTCTACATTGTTTTGTAGCGTATGAACTTTCTTCGACTTTTACGTCTGCGTATCGTTCTCGTCACATGTAAATCCGATTTTGCCAATGATCGACCAAGAAATACAATGGATTTTGTTGTTGTGCCGTCACTGCTGCTGTCATTGGATATATGAAGTTCAGCATCCTTATCTATATCCGAGCCATCGTCAATAACTTGCGGGGCGTTTAAATTCAGTTCACGTGTCAAGCTTGGATTAGCACGTATGCTTTCCGTTTCCCCAGCGCAAACAATCCGCATTGGCAACGCATTAAATGAGAAGCTTTGTGTGAATAGACGATGGCGAGCTTTGCGTCGCAGACTTAGATTTATCATTTGTGTTTCCGAATCACTGGAGTTGTTATGGTCGTCATTATCTTTTGAAGTACTGCATATTGTTTCCTCTGCATCTTTTATTATAGGTTCCTTTTCAGTATTCTGAGACATTTTAATGTATGGCCGCTTTATATTATTGTACATTTATTTGTATGGTAAACACGCGTATCAGCTGAGCTGCAGTGGCAGCCCTTTGCCAGGGTCGCAGAAGCAACTGCAGGGGTGCATCAAGAAGTCTGACTAGTGTGGCCAGAATTAAGGCGACAGTGTGACCAATCGACTCAAATGTGCGTCGAAGGCAGCAGCAGTGCAATTTCAACAAAATAAGGTAAAATGTAGAACAAAAAACCTATAAACATTAAACAATTAGCACTATTGTACACATCAACTTGGCAAGTGATAAATATCAACACTGTATGTTGGATTTATGGTAACGGTCCAGCTAAAACGGCTATAAAATTGATTATTGCGGCGCATGCCGAAAAGGGAGGATTCAACAGCAAAGTGTAAAAAAAGAATGAAAAAAAAAAACAATGTAGGAAAAAACAAGCCTATGCACCAAACAAAGAAATCGCGATCTACTCTTAAGCTACTAAAAATATGCTTATAGGGCAGCAATAAACTGTGTGCGTTTTTATTTTTTTTATTACTTGCAGTTGAAGCATTTGCGTTGCGGTGTACAAAAAGAAGCAACAGCAAAAACAACAACAACAACAGCAGCGGGCGACAATTGCAATTTGGGTGCATTACTAACGGGAGTTGCGTTTGTGCATAGAGAAAAAGCACCAATATGTCTGATCCCGAGCGCCAAAGCTTGATCAACAAAGACGAGCCGACCGGGGCCTCGTACACATCGTTTCCAGCCGAGGGCGCTGAAAATCCCGGCAGCAGTGCTGCAGCCAATAATGAAGACGGTACGTATGATTAACCTAACCCTAGGTAAAATAAGTGCGTTCAACTCGCCGCAAAACCCTAAGCGACCGACAATCCGACCTAGCGCCCGCATGCGTGTGCGTGCGTGTGTAACTGGTCTTACGGATCTGCATATGCGGGGTCCGATTGTCTTCGGGTGGAAACCCAACAAGTGTGCGCTCTACTTAGCAGGCACTGTGATTTCAAGTCTAGTTTTCCATTTCATGCCCAGCTTTTCACACTTCCCCTGACTGAGTCATTGATATAGTGGGCCGTGCTGGGCGTGGGCGCCATGCCTACCCGTTTACGCGACATCCGCAGAAAGTTCGTAACTTGATGCCGAATCGCAGTCGAATTCGCAGCTAATTGCCATTGTTCCGCACACTATTGTGCCGGCAATCGCAACTATATCATTGCGTTTGTAACAGGTGGGCAATGCGCTTTATGTGTCTATTAGTATAGTTAAACTATAAACTTGCGAGTATTCCGAACTATAGCACAATGCGGGTCTTCTTTTAAGATCAAATTATATAAGATCTGAATGTGAAGACATTCAATTTTCAATTTAATTCAATTAAAGTAAAAGTTACGAACTTTAAATTTATCATTTAAGTACTGTGTCTGTCAGTTCGGATTGGGTAAGGCTTAACATTAAATTCTTTATTTTGTTATTAACGCACACCTTGAATTGCAAAGGGCTTCCGATGCCAGAGTATAGTTAAGGTATTTGAAGTATGAAATAGTTTTAAAAGTTAAATCACAGCTGACAGCTTTTAAGAAATGTACAAACTTCGACTTAAAGCGCCGAACTTTTTCATATTCCATTTGTTTTGTTCTTGCCCTGATATCAGAGCTATGCAAGCAGAAACGCGACGGTAGCGTCGTCGTTCAGCTGTTTAATCAGCGACAGCAGCAGCGTGCGATGGCTGGCAGCAGGCAAAGAGGCATTGCATGAGTCATGCGCCTGTTTTTCCATTATCGTTGGACAGAGACAATGTCGTGAGTCCCCCTCACTCCGTGCTGTCGCAGCGCTTTTGTCGCTGCCAAGAACCTGATCAGTGTACACCCTTTCATGCCAAGGTTGTGCGTTATTTATAGTTGCCGCTTAATTTCTTGTTGTCCTAACATCTTGGGCTCGCAGTTTTGTGCACAAAGTGCGGGCTTGTTTGAAACCGCAATGAGGCGTCCAAATGTGGCACAAATGCCCGGTCTGAGTTGCTTGGCTACCACTGCCCACCGAATCGCCTAAACATGGACACACATGCATTAATCTGTAAACATTGCCACACCCACACACGGAGATATCAATCGAACGCTTTCATGCAGCTTGCAGTAGTGCAGCGGCAGTTGCTACTGCAGTAAGATGTACTTGTTTTACACTAAAGGTTTATGGTTGTCATAAGTGACCTCTTTCCCGTACTGACATCTCGTTTTACTTTGGTTTTTCCAGGCAGCACTGCACAGTCGGTGCCATTTATTGGTCCCGATGAGCTGCCACCGCCGTATCAGAGCAGCGGCACCGGCGGCGTGCCCATGGTCACCTGTCGTGTGTGTCAGAACATGATTGACATAACCACAAAGCGGGAGCAACATGTGGTCAAGTGCACCCACTGCAATGAGGCAACTGTGAGTAGAGTTCTTATAGCTCCTTTTTTGTAGACTATATAATGTTTTATTGCAGCCCATACGTAATGCGCCACCCGGCAAGAAGTACGTGCGCTGTCCTTGCAATTGTTTGCTTATCTGCAAGAGCTCCTCGCAGCGCATCGCTTGCCCACGCCCCAATTGCAAGCGCATTATCAATTTGGCTCCAAGTCCAGTGACACCGCCCGTGCCCACCATGCCGGGCATGTGCCGGGTCACTTGTGGCCACTGCTCGGACACGTTTTTGGTAAGAGCGATCAGTCCAGTTTGAGTTATATTGTGAATTTTCAATAAGATGAATCCTCCTTTTTCTGCACAGTTCAACACCTATCACAACGCACTGGCTCGCTGCCCACACTGCAGGAAGGTCTCCTCGGTGGGCTCACGTTTCGCCAACAGCCGCGGGGTTTTATTTGCTATTGTCGCATTGCTCTTCCTTATTGGTAGCATTGGCCTGACCGTTGGCACCATCTCATATGCATCGGTAGGTGCCATTCAATATATAATCAATCGCCTCTAACTAAATGCTATATCTCCTCTTATTAACAGAACCATGGCGGCATGTATATCCTTTATATTGCCTTGTTTTTCATTGCGGCTACCATGTTGGCGCGTTCCATTTACTATTTCCGACTTAAAGTAAGCGCGATCGATGGACCCATGTAAGATTCGCGGCGTGTCGGTTAATATGGAAGTGCATTGTTTTATTTTTATAAATATATATATATGTGTCAGCATATATACATATATATTATGCATATAATTCATTCCTTTTGATATTAAACAAAACCCCGTAAAACAAACGCAAGTAGAACACAACAAAAGGGCAAGCAATCCACCACAATTTTCATATGCAGAACCGCCAGCTACTAATTCAAGTAATATATATATTATATATATATTATAACAAAATAACAGGATACGTTGTTTTGTCGCGCATCTTTAAAGAGTTATTCGTGTTGAATTAATATTAAACTTAGCAAATTCGTCAGCAAGTAACTCCCCATTTAAAGTGATTTCTAAAAGCATAATTAAGACTAAGCCGAGCGCATACAACCTAATTAAAAACAGCAAAACGTGAATAAAAACAAAGCAAATGTCGAAAAACGATTACATTAAAAGTGCTAAAATGGAAACTAAAAACAGTAGGCAGTTTTTAGACCAGGGCGGACGGGACGGGACGGGACGACGGACAGACGGAAATTGCATTACATCTATAGCATATATTAAAGCAAATTTTTATAAATAACTAAGCGCCATTTTTTCATATTTCTATATATACAATAATGTATAATTTTATACGTTTGTGTTCTTGAATTGTATAAATATGTTTTTTGTACGTGTTTGTTTCATATCTTTCGATATTTATTCTCGATAAATACTGCGCTTAGAATTGATTGTTTTTAGTTTGCTTTCTTTCAACGTACTAAGAATTTAATAATGCACTTTTCTCGAGTTACGCCAAACGCAGAAACAGCAACAAACAGCATGTGTTTTATACAATTTTGGGGCGTTAGATATAATCAAAAGCGTATAGCTAATAGTGCTAATGAAGGTACATAATTGCGTATATATACCTACAATTAACTAATTAATATGTCTTGAAGAACAAATAAAAATTACAAAAATCTAATAGAGAAAATCAACGCTCATGCAACAACAATTTAGACAGCAACAACAAAAAAGCGGTTAAAGCATCGTATACATTATATAAAAAAGGAAAGGTTTACTTTTGAAATATATATATATATATACACAACATTTATATTTAGTTATATATTTAGCATACATACACATACATTGTAAATAAAGTGAAATAAAAAAAAAAAACTAAAAATCCCTATACTCTGCCGTCTGGTTAAGAAAGGGGAAATTCTGTTGTCAAGGGGATATTTTCTTATTCTTGATTTATTGCCTTTGCTAGAGCGAGATCGCACAATTTGGCAACACTTGGCAGCACTGTTACGTCAAACGCTGTCAAAAGCAAATTTTCTTCGAGCTCTGTACTGAAGAAAATGTCGTTTAATCCTTTCCCCATTGGCACCCAATTGCACGTGGAGACCTGCTTTGGCGACCACATAACTGGCGAGGTGGTTACCTACGAGCACAGCGTGAAAATGCTAATATTAAGCTGCCCGGGCAAGGATAGCAAAGGCAAAAAGTGCCTCAATCAGAGCATTGTGAATTTAGACTTTTGCAAGAACTTGAAAATCATACGCGAGGCCAAAACACCGGATTCGAACCTTAACGAGCCGCCGGCTCGCCTCAATTTGCTGCGCGTACGTTGAATATAGACAATCAATTTGTGTATTTATTGAAATTTTCCACTTGCAGCTCGATCAGCGCTTGCAGCAGTCTGTGGAGCAGCGCGAGAACTTGCTACGCAGCCGCAATGAGCATGCCACGCCGCGTGGCAGGCAAATGTTCACAATGCTCACAAAGCATTTCGGCAGCAGCGAGCTCTCCTGGCAGGTGGACAGTATACTGGTGCTGCAGCAGGTGACCATAGCGCCGCCCTATCGCACCAGCGACATAACCGCCAAACAGAATCTGCCCAAGCTGATTGGCTACGTGCAGCGTCTGGTCGAGAAGTTCAACGCACAGAACGGCAACGGGGACGCGGACGTCGAAATGGCGGCCAAATAAACCAAAGACGGGAATGCATGCCGGGACGCCCACGCAAGCGACAACAACCGAAACACTTGGCAACAAATCATCCACACACATACACACACGCACACCCATTTTACACACACATAAATTATAAGCACACATAATTTATATACAGTTCAGTTGCCTGGCGCTTTGTTTGTCAACAAAAACATTTCCAAATACACACACAAAATTGTGTGTACTTTATGTCCGAAACACACAACTTGTATTTAGTATAGTTCTAGTTTATTTGATTGTTAGAGCTTTCCGCAGCGATCCTGTGCGCGGCGCCATGGCTGATGATGAGGATAAACCAAAGAAGCACACCCTCGACTCGCTCTTTCACGTTTACTGCAATCACAAGGTCACAATTTGTTTATACATTTGATTTTCACTGTTTTATATACTTTATATATATATATATGCTTTTATCCAGGTGATCGGCAACGAGCTGGAGAACGAGGAGTTCCACAGCATTTTACTTTCGCAGCTGGACAACTGGCTGCAGCAGGCCAAGCTGATGCCGGTGCCCATAACGCGCACCCAAACTGGACTTCTCTATATGCGCTACAAGTACATACATGATCCACAGTTTATGATTATTATAGATCCCAAGTCATGACGCATTTCGTTTTCTCGTCTGATTCAGAAAGTGGCGACTGGATTATGAGGACTTCCTTGAGGTGCTGCAGCATCTGAGCACGGACGCCGATCTTAACTATGAGGATTTTAAGGTCACGCTTGTAGCCGCTGGACCGCCCACTGGCGCCACCGAAATAGTCGTCGTTAAATAATTCTACTCACAAATTTTAAATTTAATATTGCGAAAGAAAACAGCATAAAATAATACGCTTTAGTCATAAAGTTGATAACAATTACACATAGAAATTAGTTCATATTTAATACGAATTGTAAACTTGTTTCGAATCACCTTTTCCTTTTTTTTTTTCGTATACAAACTTGTTTTGCCGAGTATTGAGTCGAAACTATTTTATACTTTATTCATATAAACACACTTTTAAAAGTGATTCGTTGTGGCTTCCACAAACTGCCCTTAGATACAGAGGAGAGTTCATTTAATAGCCGCATTTTTGATCGATTAGTTTTCGAGTTTGAGTTTAGCACCTGAACAAATAGATGACAAGAGATTGCAATAGTGTAAAAAAATATACATTCGATATTTTAAGAGTTAAACTTCTATATGCTGCAGCATTTTGCTAGTTAATATAAAGCACATTTATCATTTTGTACTGGCGGCTTTTTGGCTATTGCGGAGAACGAAGAATGTGAATGGGGCCCAGTTCCATTTAGCCATTAGTCATAAATACAACTATGCGCACGCTATATATACTATATACATCATATATACTGGGCCAGTATCTCGCGTGTATAATGCCTCTGTACACACAGCGCAATCGGCATGTTCTGTTGATTTTCTGGTTTTTATTTTCTACCTCGTCGAGCGCCGCCGCTTTGAGGCTCCTCAAGGTCAATAAAATTAATGCATACATGAATTTGTATTTCCGTTTAGTTGTGGTCTTACTGTAGCGTTTGTTATATGATAAGGTTCGCCTTTGTTGATTCGCTGCAGCGTCATGAGTGCATCATCATCTGTAGAGCATCTAATTATATATGTATATATGGTGTATATAAGTAAACGTGGCACTTAGGATTAGTTAAGATTAAACTGGTTGGGACTGAGTGGCTCTTTAGGAGTAGATGGTGTGCTCCAGCCAATCATCCAGATTAAAGAATGCCGTATCGGAATTGTCTGTGTCACGTTCGCGGAACATCTCGATGAAGGTCTTCACCTTGATGGCGCACATGAGGAAATCATCGAAGGGCACCTTGCCCTCCCGTGAGCCGTAGCGATGGGCCAGCGCATTGAGCAGCCGGTTGTTCAGATGATAGCCTGCAGAGTTAAGAGCGCCACGCAAGTGGAAGCCATCGATGGTGCCGGAGCGTCGGGTGTCGTACAGCTTGAATACGGCACGCCATTTGGCAATGTCTGTGAGGAGCGCTTCGAACTCATCAAAGCCGAGTCGGCCGGAGCGATCCTTGTCCAGCATGGCGACCATGGAGCGTACCGCATCCTTGGAGAAGCCATCGGTGCCGACCATGACGTCGCGCATCGAATGATCCAGTATGCGCTTGAGTTCCTGCCAGTCCACCTCCTCGTCGCTGCCCGCAACGCTGTCGAAGAGACGCTTGAGTGCAATGCGCTGCGGATCATCCTCCTCCTTGGGTGTGGGTGGCGGCAGCGCCGGCGCAATGCGATCATCCGTCTCGCCAAAGCCCACCTCATCGTCGTTCTCCTCCATGTTGTTCATGGTCTCGGAGAAGACGCGTATAATAAACTCGCCCTCCTCATTTGGATCAAAGGTCGAGGGCACTATCAAATAATGACCAGGAGGCAGTTTGAAGCGTGCACAAACCTCACGTGTATTGATGAAATGCGGTGAACGCGCCACCGAAGCGCGATACTTGAAGAAATTCAAGCCCTGCGGCTTCACTTGCATATCGCGATCCGTCAGATGGTAAATGGCAAAGCCAATGGTCAGACAATCGATGCCCACGTTGCGCTTGCTGCGACGATTCTTTTGCATTAACGCGACAATCACTGTGCACTTGCCGTCGTCGTCCTCCTCGTCGGGATCCTCCAGCGAGATAATATACTGCGGATTGTGCCAGAACGTTTCCAAAAAGTTGCGGCAACCGCCCGCCGTCACACCCGATGACCACTCGCCTTCGAACATGGACATCTCCCACTTGCGGCGCGAGCTCTGCTGCTGGTTTTCGGTCAGCGAGTCTGGCGACATGTTGCAAATCTCGACGCGATCAAAGTGGTTGAGAAAGTCTTGGAACGACATCCAGAATTCACCATCACGATCGAAATTCAGGCCAATCTCTTCCTTCTGGTGCTCCGGTATGAAGCGCCACTCGGGCGAGCTATCGCTCCAGGGGCCGCTCCATTCGGCTTCGTTGCCCCAAGGATTACGCATGCGTATCATGGGCAGCTTGCCCTGACGATTGGGCGTCGATATGTCCAAGAGGCAGACCTTGGTTATGGAGTACGCATGACCGCGTATCAGACCCTCACGCGTTTCGGCCTCCAGCACATGCGGATCCGGCTCCAGAGAGCAACCCATCATCGAGCCACGCTCCGCTGCCTTGGTCATTATGCTAAATAGATTCGGTGGAGCCTCCTTAATGTCATACCACTCGGTCACACCGCCAGTAAAGTCCTCCATAGCCTCGCAGGTGGTGCCGCCTGTAAAAGCAAAGATTTTAAGAATTGTCCAAAACAAATCCTGTTTGTGCTCTCAACCAACCCTTCAGGGCCTCATAGGAGCCATGAAGCTTGGCGTATGCCTTCTCCAGCAGCGCGCTCCAGAACTCATTTTTCTCCGTGGAGTGCATGTATATCAGCTCCCCGTGGTAGGTGGGCAGACGATCATCGATGACAACCTCCACCCATTTGCCGTATTGCCAGAACTTGAAATGGAATATGCCCGCATAGTTCTCCTGGAAATCCTGATCCGGCGGTATCACGCGGAAGAAGAGCTTCGAGTCCTGCGTCAGATTCGCAGCTGCGGCCAACAGCCAGCAATCGCCCAGCTCACCCTGCTGCACATCGAAGCGCGAGTAGCCCTCGACAAAGAACTGCGGATCGTCCACAATGTCGCCGGGTCGCAGCCATTCGATGTAGCGATCCGGACGACGCGAGAACATCAACGAGGCATCATTGGCCGGAAAATCAGGATCCTCGAACATTGTACCATTGGACACACAAGATTCACGCAGCGTGGCAAAGTCCGTAGCCTGGACGCTCTTTTGACGCGTCGTACTGGCCTTGCGGCCCATCCAGAACATGTTTTGATTCTCGGGCACTTTGACACTGGTAAACTGCAGCTCCTGTATGCCCACGGATGGCTCCTCCTCGGGCGAGGGTGCACTGGCCTCTGGCTCAGATGGCGTCGGCATCGATGGGTAGATCGACTGCGGTGCCGGACTGGTCGGCAAGGGCGCGTAGGGCATGGGCATGCCGGGCATACCCATGCCGCCTGCCGATGGATAAGGCAGTGACGGCATTCCACTGGGATACGGCGCTGCGCTCGGATAGGGCATTGCATTCGGGTAAGGTGCGGCACTCGGATAAGGCGTGGCACTGGGATATGGCGATGCACTCGGTATGGGCGCCAGGGGCGTGGATGGATACGGCAACGGCATAGCTGGCAGGTTCGGATACAAGCCAGCGCTTGGATACGGCGTTGCCTGCGGCTGTGGCATGCCCATACTGCCGCCCTGATACGAGGCATTCTGTGCCTGCGCCGTTTGCTTCACCACATATGGCATGCCGCCCACCGACTCCGACGTAGGATAGGGCAGCGAGGGGTACAGCCCAGACTTCGGTTTGCTCGGCGCATCGTCGCTGACTTCATTCTTGCTGTAGCCGAGGGCCGCCAGATTGACAAGGCCAATGCCGCTCGCATGATAATTTTTTGGATAATTATCAATGCCGTACATTTTATTTCACTGTTTCTTGTTTTTTTTTTTTTCTTAAATTAATCAACTTTTCTAATATTTTTTTTATTGATTTACGCAGCACTCAAATTATAAACAACTATTGGGGGGAACGCAGCTCGACGCTGTTGCGTGAAAAGTGCTGACTCGACTGGGGAAAAATACGTTTTAAATGGGAGAAATATCCAAATTTAACTTTCTTATGAATAGATGATTCACATCTTAACACTTGTGTATGTGGATAATTTATCCAAACTTATTAGTCACAGATGGGTTTAATCTTTGATTACACTTTTAACTTCTGTAATTTGGTCAATTTAAACACTTTCCTGCCATTTGACAGGGTATTAAGTAAAAAACATCTAGATATAATTTTTATCAATGCCTTAAAATAACACCAAGAGCAGCATTGGTGTTAAAGGTTGTACTCAGGGCTGAAAAATTGCGATATAGAGCTGCCATGATGCAACATTTGGTATTTTATTTTGCTGGCATTTTTAGCCAAAGCAGCCGCTTGTTGAAAGAAGAAGACGCAATGTGAAAAAATAAACAATGCGGTGATATTGATAACAAAATATAGATCGCTTAAAAAGTGTGCAAATCAACGCCAAAAAACTATGGACACACAACCTGAGGTGCCCGAGGTCCCGCTGCGGCCATTCAAACTATAAGTTCTGCTCTGCTAGCCCTTGAGACTCGGCAATTCATGTTCTCCTTTCCTTCCAGCACGGCGCATCAGGTTGTGAGCCTCACCGGAATTAGTTTTGAGCGGCGCAGCATAATTGTAAGATTTATGACACAAATACTGTGCACAATTTGCAGTATGAAATAATTGATATTTGATTCACAGGGCATGGTGGAGCTGACCATAGTGCCGAACAACGAGAGCCTTCGACTGATACGTCTTAACGCCAAGCAGCTGCGCATTTATAGCGTGGTGCTCAACGATGTCTGCCAGGCGGAGTTCGTTTACTTTGATCCGTTTCAGGACATTTGCCACAAGGAGCCCAAGAGGTTAGTTGAGCATTAGCTGTGGCTGCCCTTCCTTAACATATCACCTATACATACACAATGCAGCCGCTCGCTGGAGGTCTACTCAAAGCATCATTTGGCTGCGGCTCAAATCACGGATCCGGATGTCAACAATGGAGAGTTGCTAATACAGGTGCCGCCGGAGGGCTACTCGCTGATACAGGAGGGCCGTGGCCTGAGGATACGTATTGAGTTCTCTGCGGAAAACCCAAAGAGTGGCATGCACTTTGTACTGCCGCCGACTTCAACGGATGATGAAACCGCGCAGCTCAACTGTGCGCATATGTATACAAACTGCTATGAGAACTCGACCCGCCTGTGGTTTCCCTGTGTTGATAGCTTCGCTGATCCATGCACCTGGAGACTGGAGTTTACGGTGGACAAGAATCTAACAGCTGTCTCCTGCGGTGAATTGGTTGAGGTCATCATGACTCCGGATTTGAGAAAGAAAACATTTCATTATACGGTGTCGACACCGGTGTGTGCGCCCAACATAGCGCTGGCGGTGGGACCCTTCGAAATTTACGTGGATCCGCATATGCATGAAGTGACGCACTTTTGTTTACCCGGCATGCTGCCTTTGTTGAAGAACACGGTGCGATATCTGCACGAGGCCTTTGAGTTCTTTGAGGAGACGCTCTCCACACGGTATCCTTTCTCCTGCTACAAACAGGTGTTTGTAGACGAACTGGACACGGACATTAGTGCCTATGCCACCATGACGATAGCCTCCGTCAATCTGTTGCACTCCATAGCCATTATAGATCAAACCTACATTTCCAGAACATTCATGTCACGCGCTGTGGCCGAGCAGTTCTTTGGCTGCTTCATCACATCGCATCACTGGTCGGACACCTGGTTGGCCAAGGGCATAGCCGAGTATCTGTGTGGCCTCTACTCACGCAAGTGCTTTGGTAACAACGAGTATCGCGAATGGGTGCAAACGGAGCTGGCACGCGTGGTTAGGTACGAGGAACAGTATGGCGGCATCATACTCGACTGTAGCCAGCCGCCGGCGCCACTGCCTGTGTCCAGCACGAATCCTGCGGCCGCCGCCAGCAAGCAGCAGGAGATTGTGCACTACTTTCCCATCAAGAGTTTGCACACGGTGTCGCCCAAATATGTGGAGGCGATGCGGCGCAAAGCGCATCTGGTCATACGCATGCTGGAGCATCGCATTGGCCAGGAGCTGCTGATACAGGTGTTCAACAAACAGCTGGCGCTGGCCACGAATGCAGCAAGCACCAAAATTGGTGCCGGCTTGTGGTCGCAACTGCTCATCTCCACAAACATCTTCATCAAGGCAATTTTCACGGTCACGGGCAAGGACATGTCGGTCTTTATGGATCAATGGGTGCGAACAGGTGGCCATGCAAAGTTCTCACTCACCTCGGTGTTCAATCGCAAGCGAAACACTATCGAACTGGAGATTCGGCAGGACTTTGTTAATCAGCGCGGCGTACGCAAGTATAATGGACCGTTGCTGGTGCAGCTGCAGGAGCTGGATGGCACTTTTAAGCATACGCTACAGATTGAGAATACCTTGGTTAAGGCGGACATTACGTGCCACTCAAAGAGCAGGCGAAACAAGAAGAAAAAGATTCCATTGTGCACCGGCGAGGAGGTTGACATGGACTTGTCTGCCATGGAGTATGTACATTAACAAATGTTTGAATCCATCGACTTATAATCTCCCTTATTCCACAGCGACTCTCCTGTGCTGTGGATACGTCTGGATCCGGAGATGATTTTGTTGCGGGATCTGATCATTGAGCAACCGGACTTTCAGTGGCAATATCAGCTGCGGCACGAGCGAGACGTGACTGCCCAGTTTCAGGCTATACAGGCGCTACAAAAGTATCCCACAAATGCCACGCGCATGGCACTTACCGACACCATTGAGAGCGAATCCTGCTTTTACAAGGTGCGCTGCCAGGCGGCGCACAGCCTCACAAAGGTGGCCAATCAAATGGTTGCCTCGTGGAGTGGTCCACCAGCCATGCTTAACATTTTTCGCAAATTCTTTGGCTCCTTTAGCGCGCCGCACATTATCAAGCTAAATAACTTTTCCAACTTTCAATTGTACTTCCTGCAAAAGGCCATTCCCGTGGCCATGGCGGGTGAGTGGATCACGTTGCCCAGGATCTGTTCCATTTTTTATTTTTTCTCCTCGTTATAGGCTTGCGCACTTCTCATGGCATCTGCCCGCCGGAGGTGATGCGCTTTCTGTTCGATCTCTTCAAGTACAATGAGAACTCACGCAATCATTATACGGACGCCTACTATAGAGCTGCACTGGTCGAGGCGCTGGGAGAGACCCTTACACCCGTCGTATCTGTGGCAATGCACGGCACTCAAATCACCGTAGATAGCCTTTCCACGGATGCCAAGTAATTATAAAAGACACTATTATATGCCTTGTAAGCTCATGTAGCATTTTCTGGCTGCGTTTACAGACTGGTCCTGGACGAGGTGACGCGGCTGCTTAACATGGAGAAGCATCTGCCCTCGTACAAGTATATGGTGTCCGTGTCCTGCCTTAAGGTCATACGCAAGCTGCAAAAGTTTGGCCATTTACCCTCGCTGCCTCACATTTATCGTAGCTATGCGGAATATGGCATCTTTCTGGATTTGCGCATTGCGGCAATGGAGTGTCTGGTAGATTTTGTGAAGGTGGATGGACGCAGCGAGGATTTGGAGCACTTGATAACGTTGCTGGAAACCGATCCTGATCCGGCAGCTCGACATGGCCTCGCTCAGCTGCTTATTGACAATCCGCCTTTTACGCGCGAGTCCCGTAGTCGTCTGGACAAACCGAATCTGCTGGAGCGCCTCTGGCTGAGTATTAACACACTGGCCTATGACACGAAGCTGCGCTGCGATATTGTAGATCTGTACTATGCGCTCTACGGCAGCAAGCGGCCGAACTGTCTGCAGGCCAGCGAGAACCAGAACTTCTACAAGGACTTGATGAAGGAAAACGGCAGCTCAAGCGTTTCCTTTAAGAAGGCCAGCGAGCCCAAACCTGCAGAGATCGAACCTCAAGAGCGGCACAAGCCTGCCATGGTTACCATAAAGCGCACCGCCACAGAAGCCTTTGAAGTGGGAGATGAGATCATCAAGCTGGAGCGCAGTGAGGAGATCACAGTCGTGGACGAGCCGGTTGAAGTGCAGGCCTTTGATAGCGAAACCAAGGTGAATGTGTTGCCAGCTGAGGATGGATCCGGCGAATCCCAGCCCCTGAACAAGCGCATCAGAACCGAAATCTATACGGAAGACGACAATTCGATATCGGTGCTCGATGTGGGCGAGACGACGCGCTACGAGAGCAGCTATGACGAGAGCAAGCTGCGAGCTGACGGCAGCGTCAAGAAGAAGAAAAAGAAGGACAAGAAGAAGCATAAGCATAAGCACAAGCACAAACACAACAAGGATAAGGACAAAGATCGCGAGCGCAAGGAGAAAGATCGTAGGGATCCGCAAATCTCACGTCTGCAGACAAGGGAGGCGGCCACGCCCGAAACCCTTAGCTCAGCGGATAGCAGCAACAGCAACAGTAATACCCCAATGGGCCTGAACTAAGCAATAAGCAATTAATTCGATGTTAACGTAAAAAGTGAATAAACTAATTAAGTTATAACATTTCATAGAATTGTATCGGACATAGCTTTCTTATTGCAGTTCGCGCCTGACTTTTCAGCATATGTTCAGGTTTAAATTCAGCACAACTTGAAAGTCGGCATATAGAAGTGATTTGAAAAATATTTTCTAAAAAATGTAACAAATAAAATTAAAGCGATAAATGTCTTAAAATTGAAAGAAGTTAAGGAACCACATGCATTTCTTATATGAAAATGCATGTAATTTTCAGCACCCGTTTTGCTGCTGGGTAGCTGTGATTATTAATTAGATTTTTTTTTTGATTTATTTATAATTTAACGTTATTAAAGTGCTGAATATGCAGAAACATTTTTACAATACTTATAACTAGACAAGGGGCGAGTGACATTAACTAAAGGATCGCAACTTATGTAGCCTTCGTCGGCTCGGGCTCCGTTGCCTTCGTCTCGCTGCCAGCCACGGCTGTGTCCTGCTCATCCCGCGGCCGGCGCTGCAAATAGGTGATGCTGCCGCCACCAAGGCCCGTCGCCGTCTGCTGCGTCTCGGCAGAAGTGGGCGTAGACAGGATTTTCACTGACGGCTCAGAGGGTGCTGAGCGCTGATGCGCCAGCTGGTGCTGATGTTGATGTTGATGCTGATGTGCGGCCAGCTGGCGTGTGGCCAGGCGCATCAGATGCGCATAGTCTACGGGCGGATGGTTGCGATACTCGGGATGATCCTTGACGTACTGCTCATAGGGTACGGGCACTGGCACTGGCACCGCCTTGACTGGGTAGCCAGCCTCGACAAGCGCCTGGAACTCGGCCTGGGTGAGGGGTTTGCCATTCGGTGGCGGCAAATTCAGCTGCTTTACCTCGTCCAGTGTGCGCAGCTTGTGCACAGCTGCTGCTGTGGGCGTGACACGAGAGGGCGTGGCTATGCCAGTACCTTGGGAAACATAAATGCTAGACTGCGAGGGTGAGGGGTGCGCTGGATAATCAATGGGCTGCACTGTGGGCACCACAGTACGCTGGGACGCATGCTTGATGGGATCAGGTGGACTGGGATAGAAATGGGCATTTGTGGGTGCTGGCGCCGGCGGCTGTGCACGCTCAGCATAGTCAGCATAGAGCAGGGCCTTCTCATAGGATTTGGTGGGACTGGGTGTGGGCAGTTTGTAGTGCTTGGTGCGATAATGTTTGGGCTTGGGCGCTGCTGTGGGCGCCGCCTCCTGGTAGTAGTACTGCGAGGGCTGTGGCTGAGCAGGTGCGCCCGTTGGGTAGACAACGGGGCCTAGTCGCTTGGCCTCGAGCTGCTGTCGTTGCTGCTGCTCCTGCTGTCCCGGATAAATGGGCGTGGGCTGCTGGAAGCTGCTGAACTTGAAAAGCGACGGCACAAAAGGCTGATTGTTGGCATCCAGCAGCGAATTGGGCGTGCTGGCCAAATAAGCCTTGGGCTGACGCAGCGCCGGATGCGAGGTGGGCGGCGGCGGATGCTGTGGTGGCGGTAGCCGAGTCGCATGCTGCTGATGATTGACCAGCGTTGGCTCATTGCTGCTGTCCACATAGGCCAGCGCCTGTTGGCCCGAGCCGGGCTTGTTGGCGGCCAATAACTTCTCAATTTCGCTCTCTAGCGAGGATTTGGCCAGCGGATGATTGGGCAGCGTCTTGTAACTAATCTGCGGCTGATAGTAGGCAATCTGCGGCGGCAGCACAAGCTGCTGCTGGTGATGCTGCTGCGGCTGCGGCTGATGACGCTGTTGGGGAACGGGCGCTGGCGAGTCATCCTCCTCCTGTTGCTGCTGTGGCAAGGGCAGATATTTGGGTCCGCCGCGCGAGTAGCTGGGCTGCACCAGCTGCTGCTCGGCCACATAGCGATCGCGATAGCCGCCCAGGCCGAGGACAGGCTCTGCCTGCTGCAGCACCTTGTGCGTGGCTGCTGTGCTGTGTATGGGCAAAGCCTTGGGCTGGGTCTGCTGTTGCTGTTGCTGCTGCTGTTGCTGTTGTTGGTGCTGCTGCTGCTGCTGTTGACGCAGCTGTTCGTGATAGGCACGTGCCTGCAGCTCCTCCTCAAGCAATTTTAGGAATTGTTCCTCGGGTATGATCTGATACGGCTGCTGTTGCTGCTGTTGCTGCTGATGCTGCTGCTGCTGTTGATGCTGATGTTGGGGTGCGGGCAGGGGCAAGGGCAGCTGATAGGGTCCTGGTCCATAGGGGCCACTTCTGAGTCCTGGCTGTGGTTGTATGGACACCGCATAACGTTGTTCCGCCTCCTGTTCCTGCTCCTCCTCGGCGACAGGCGTTGCCTTTTTGGCGGGCGCGCTGCCAGCTGCTGTCTTACCTTGAGCCGCAGACGCCTGCACTTTGGGCTGGTGCCGCTGAATGTCTTGCAAATAAACATAGTGCTGTATCTGGGCGTGGGCGAGACAAAGCGTTAAGGCGTGGTTAATAAATTATGATGTTCAAATTCGTCTGTGGGCGTGCGAAAGATCAACAGCCAATGCCAGCGCCAAATGGCAGCGTTTAAATGTGGAGCCCACCTACGGCAATCAGGTCAGCTGCTTGAGTGGAGCGCTGTGAGAATCGTGTGGCATCTAAAGTTTATATAACACTTGTGCGGCAGCTCCGACAAATGACGTTGATGTCTGCGCCAACAACAACAGCAACAGCAGCAACCACATCGACCGCCCTCGCCACCGTCTTGGCACGGCTTCGGTTGCGGGGTCTTGACTTGGGCTGCTGTTGCAATCGATGCGCATGTCGGTGGCGGCGTTGGCATAAAGCAATTATTTACATTACACTGTGCAACAAACAATATCACTTTAGTTTTTTACGCAACACTAAACAGGAGCAAGATATGTCGGAGTCACTTGAAGTCGTGAGAATTGCATAGAAGGGTGACGTGGGGCGGAGGAGTGAAGAGAGAGAAAAAGAAAGAATATATGGGTGCCTACGAAAAACTAAGAAAAACTGAGAAAGAAATGGACAGCAGCTTAGATGAAGAAAGCGAGTGTCTAAGAACGCGATAAAGAGAGAGCGCGAGTGATAGTAAATTAAGAAAAAACATAAGAGAGAGCGAGAGAGAGAGAGAGAGGGGGGGGGGGAGATAACTAGAATGAATATCAGTTATTAAACATTAACTATTTAAATGTCATTTTATGTAAACTCAACACTTGTGAAACATAAATTCTTGAGAATCACAGAGAACGGCGATGATGCGCATATATTAATAAACAGATGCGTGGGCATATAAAGGCATATAAAGCTCTTCTAGTAGCTGAGATCGACTAGATCGAAGTCGTTTTGAAAAACCCCAAGCCCGTTGCACAGTGTTGCCTTCGCAATATTCACATTATTATAATAAATGAAACCCAGCCATGTCAAGGCGCCATCAGCAATAGGTCTCCGAAGAGAGAGACACGTACCAGCCAGAAGTAGGCTGATTATAACATTATGTCAACTTTCTTCCCACGACAACCCGCAACGCCTGCCATTGTCTTCTTAGACGCGGTCTTCCGTCAGTCTGCTGGTAGACCAAGACGACGCCGAAGAAGTCGCTGCTGTTGCACATTGGTGCAAATTGCCTTGGATGTGGCATGTTGCCGTTGTTGTCACTGTTGCTGTTGTTATTGTTATTATTGTTGCTGTTGACGCGTCAGACCAGCAACAACAGCAACAATAATTTTGCAATTATTCAGTTGTTGTTGTGCTGCTCGTGACTTACATTTTGTCCGCAACAAATGGCATTTATTATATTCGCGAAGTGCTTTTAATTTTTTTTATAACAATCTTTTCTTGTGCATTTTGTAATATAAACATTGTCTTTTAGATAATTGCGATTGCCCTAATCGCAATTTGTTCCCAAATGATGAAAATTCAACTCGAATGCCGCAAATATTGGTCAAGGTTTCCAAAGCTGGGGGCCAGCGAAAGGCTCAATTTGACAATTTCGATTTCAACTGGAATTGTTGTTGTTGTTGTTGTTGTTGTTGCCACAGTTTTACATCCTGAATTTTGCAAAGAATCGTGTAATTCAGTTGAGTCACGATTAACAACGCTTCTGTGGCCGCGGGCTGGCCACATTTTGACGAAACGCCCGCAAAAGACAGCTCAAAATTGACCCCCAGCTCCCTTCACCAAAACAAACACAAAGACAGACCTTTCTCCTCTTAGCTCACCTCTTGGCTCTGCTCCAGCAACTGTGCGGCATGTGGACGGGAATTGGACGCTGCAAAGTTGCGCAACTGCGGCTCCTGATGCGACTCGTGTTGCTGATGCTGATGCGGGGCAATGGGGCGTATGATGAACTGATTCGGTTTCGGGCCGTAGATCGTCTCCTGGCCATCCTCGGGATCGTCGGCCGCCTCGGCAGCCTCGCTGCGATGATTCGGATATAGAGGCGTCTCCTTGCTGCTCACCTGCCGCTTGTCTTTGGTCGCTTCCTTTTCCACCTGTGCGGGGGCGGAGCTGCTCTCGCTTTTGGCTTTGGCTTCAAGCGCGCGAACGCTGACAAGGCCTACGTGGGCGCAGATGAGAAGACAGTGGGTAGCTTTAAGTTAAGTTAGTTTTCGCTTAAATAGAAAGGTGATTATTGCCTTCAAATCACGTGAGACTACAATGGAAACTTGCTAACAAGGTGGAAAAACGGCTATTGAACTCGATTATTGTATCAACTTTCCTGAGTCTCTAGCATTTAAAAGCGACAAAAAGGAAACCTGAATAAAAACATATATATTTTGTTGAATATGAACCACTTTTAAGGGAGTCACAGCTAAAATTAACTTGGCTCTCAACAATTGCATTTATCTAACCAAATTTGGTAGAACCAAATTTTGGATAGCAAAAAAATCTAGCGCGTATTTTGCATATGAAAATATGTACAGATTGGCATATTCTCAGTAGGACAGGCGCATTTGCATTTAAAATTGATTAAAATCTGAAAATTTGTAATCTATATGACATGAAATAAAAACTGGGTTAACGAATGTGGATATCTAAGCCTACACATTGCACTCAAAGGAAGTTGGTTTTAAGCTTGCCTATTAATGTTATATATATTCTACTCCAGCCTTATGCATAGTAAAATTAATAATAAATTTATAAAATTTATGCAGATTCTCAAAACGGACTTTACGAGCACGTTTTTTGCATGATAAAATGCAATTGTTTAATGTTATAACAGGTCTTATGCTTCTAAAAAGGTTTAAAAAAGCAATCAAAGTTAAGTAGGTGTAAAAATTATTTAATGTACGTTAAATATAAAGCCAACAGTCAAAAAATATACATACACTACATTTTTATTATATGCATAAATGCAGTTTATGCTCTTAAATAATTGCTTGTTTAGTTTAAAGCTGAACACTTGTGCGCACTTTTAATAATTAAAGAAACTAAGTTAATAGCATAATAAATTAGATGCAAAACGAAAGGTTCGAATTTGATAAGATGTATAATAGAATAGAGTTATTTTCCTGTTTTAAGTAGTTAGAGTTATAGAATGGAGGTGAAGATTCTTTAAGAAACAGAAGAAAAATGTAAAGATATATTTTTTTACCCAGCCAAACAGAAATAATAAAACTTGTATGCATTTTACATACTAGCCAGCTAAGGCATATATCATTTAATCAATTTCAAGACGGGGAAACGGGAAAAACACATTTTGATTCACGATCTAACGATCTTTCTCGGGTTCCGTCTCGATACTCACCGAGCAAAAGTGTTAAGGCCAATATTTGAATTCTCATTGTGTCGTTGTGGGCAACGGACTAGTAATTGTATATATTTAGCAGCTCCTAGCTGTAGTTGTTTTTATTGTTGTTGCTTATTACTTTCACAGTCACTGCGGAATTTCCTCGTTTTCCTTGTCAAATGCTCGCAATTCGGATTAATGCATTAAACATAGCTGGCTGCGAAAAGAAGACAAACAACATCGAAGATCAGCACACAGGAAACACAAAAACACACACAAACAACATAATATATATGCGACGGTTATCAAGAGTTATATAATGGTTGATGAAGATTCGACACAATCCGTAACTGAAAAATTGAAAACGTTCGCTGTAATTGTGGCTTTTAATCCTTGGACGCGCACGCGTCTTGAATTACAAGCGAAAAGCGTTAAGAGTCAACGCTTTTTGTTGGTTGCCATTGCAATTGTTTTAAATGACGACGATGATGATGATGATGTGTTGGCGACGATCTACCGTTTGTTGTTTTTCCTGCCTATGCTTCGAGAAATTGACAGCAGCGGGAGCACAAAGTCTTGATCGCGCGCGTTGCACGTTCGACAAACGAATCTTTGCCATTGTGCGGCCAACACTTGTATTTATAAAAAGCCGCGGCCCAGACACAGCCGAGACCAAGACCGAAAGCATAGACGGTTCGAGCCACGAACCGTTGCCGACCTTTGCGGCGGGCACAAAGAGAAAGGTTCGGCAGCAGCGGCAGCGGCAGCGGCAGCTTCTCTATAGGCTTCTCTATAAGTTTTAAGCAAACGTTTCAGGGGGCTACTTTGGTTAATTCAACGTTGACGGCCGAAACTGCCAGTTAGGCGCTTGTTTAATGGCCACCCGTGCATTTGGCAGCCGCCTGAAAGCGTTTGGCCGCCTGTCTGGCCCACCAAAATGCTAACGTGACACTAAATTGCCCGCCCGCCGCTGTTGGGCTTCTGCCTGGATCTGAGGCTGGGCCTGGCCGAGGCTAAAGGGCACATTTGTGTTTAGTTGGCGCAAATTGTGCGCATTACATTTAACAAGCTCTAAATTTGCAGTTGCATTTGCATTGCATATTTAATAACGCGCTGCCGACGCCGCCCCCAATATAGCAAGTTCGCTGCTTAAGTCTTTCGTTTGACATTTGCAATTGCCACTGGGCAACTGGCGCGCCGATTGCGTCTAAACATTTCAGCGCATGCGTGGGCCAGACTGCTGCAGCTCCATCAATTTGGCCAATTGCAAAGGCGATTTAATTCAAATTTCAAACTCTCTTACCCAACGCTAATTGCCCGTTTTCGTGGCGCGGCTGTCGTTGTTGGTGGTGTCAAAGTTAACACGGTAGCTGTGAAATTTGGCGCTGAGGAAATCCGCTTGAATGGCCCGACAAATTATAGAGTGTGCGGCATTTCCTCATCCTTAACAAATTGATTAAGCCAATTGCAGCCAAAACAATCCAAATAAATAAGTTGATAATTAAGCTGAAGATCTTGCTGTGGCAACTGCAAAAATGCCTCCAACATTTGCGCAACATCGATCAATTGCAGCAACAACAACTACATGGGATTTATTTATTATAAATTCAGCATGTTGTTGTTGTTGTTGTTAGGTTGCTCACATTGTCATTTAGTTGTCTGCGTGTCGCTTGTGAAATTGTTGCATTGCATGCTAGACGAAGACAACAGCAGCAGCAACAACCAAAACAACGATGCGATCAGCAACAACAACAGTGGCAACATCTTCTTTTCTTTTACCTTATTGTTGTATTAAAGTTTTTGTTTTCTTTTAATTTCAAACACTTTTTGCAACAGGCAACCAGTAATGCAACAGTTTGCATTCGACTTTGCTTTAATCAATGATAATAATGAAGACGATGATGATGATGTTGCTGCTGCTGCTGCCAACGGCAATTGCACTTCGCAGTTTGGCATTTGCATTCAGTTTTATATTTTTTTTATTGGCAGAATGTTGTGCTGCTTTTGCTGATGCTTTTTGCGGTCGACAGTTTTATGCTCTAAATTTTATGTGTATAAATTCTTATTGCGCGACAGGCTGTTGGACAGTAGTCAACCTTAGCATTTAGCTTATGCTTTTGATATACATACTCCGAAAACATTTGCTGAGATCTTAATTGGCAGAATATACGCGAAACTATTTCTAGTTTTTTTTTTTTCTTCTCAAAGTTGTTGCTGTTGCTCTTGTTAATGAAATGTGCAATGGACAATGGGTATTGCATAATCGTCGTGCATATGTCAAATGTACATAAATCGCAACTTTTTGTTATTGTTTTTCATCGTATCGTCTACAGTCTAGCTTTACCGCTATATGACACGATAATGATATAGCTGGCAATAATAATTACAGGTAATGCAACTATAATTTAACTGACTATTAAAATACCATCTGAGACAATTTATGGCAGAGTCCATTGGGTTAGTTTACAAAGTGTTATTGACATAAGTGTGTGGAGGGTTAAGAGAAGCTCCGAGAGATACTCCGAATGAAGTATATGTAGCTGGAGTAATAAATATCGTAACTGTGCTTAAATATTTGCTTTTAACTTTGATCTAGAAAAATGTGTCACAAATTTAAAGTTTTCATTGCATACTTCGGAGCGCAATCTGTACAGAATTGTTCTAGGCTTCATTTGATGTCTATTTATATACCCAATTAGGAAGTGCTTATTAAAGGGTATATATATCATTTAATGCTCGACTTTGGAGCTGCCTGTCTAATTTATCAGTTGTTGCCCAAATCGAAATAATACCGAAACCTTTATCTAATCTCATAAATCATAAACGTCAAAAATTGTCTTGCATTAATTAAAGCGACGGCGACGGCGCATTCTAATTTATGTTTATGCTATTACCGCAGTGCATTTAAATACAATTAATATGGCTTAAAGTTAAAGCGTTTATATCAGAGCCACTCAAGCGTAAAACGGCCATAAAAATAAACAAATTCGTGATTCATGAATTGCAGGCTAAGCCCCCCCAAAGAGACGACTCCCAATTTGTGGCTGTGTCTCAATTCGAATCTTAGCTTATATCTATCTATATCTGTAACTGTATCTGTATCTTAGTCTTAGTCCGGGTTTGGTTTTAGTTATGGTAGTTCCACTGAAGCGTGGCCACACACAGACACACACAGACACACACACACACACACACACACACACACACACACACACACCGTTATGCACACCCGTATGCACATAATTTGCTAATGAGCGTGGCGTCCAGTCAGCTGTAGACAATTGCGATTGGCATTACATGATGTGTGGGTCGGGGGCACGATCATTTTTGGTCTGACTTTTGGCTCGCATTGTTATATGATTTGCGTTTTCCTGGTTTTAATTTTGGCTGCCAGCAGCCAAGTGTTTCGATTTCTCGCCATTTTCAACGCATAAACACAGAGCCGGACGGGTTCAATTAATGGCCAGTTTAAGTGCAGCACGGTCCGCCAGTTGATTTTTTACTCGCATGAAAATCAACAGAGATTTAATGTTAGCTATAATGCGCCTTTATCCATACATCACAGCCCGATAATGAGCTGTGGGCAGGCAATTTGATGCAGCTCGATCCCAGCATGTTGCTTGCATAGATTTATGGACTATATGCAATCCAGCTCGTAAAACGTCAGAGGGCATAGAAAAGCGCAGGTGAATATTTACATACTACGTGGAGTTGGTTGAAAGAGAGCTGGGCTTTGGAGTCTGGCGATTGCACAATGAATCTGTGACTTTAACTTAATAAAAGAAATCAGAAAAGCGTTGCAATAACTGAGCTTACAGCAAATGCAGCCCAAATACCGATGCCCACAGCGTTGGCAATAAAAGAAAACCAAAGTTTAGCCCCAAAAACATCAACGGGCCCGAACAATGCACATGTACAATGGCAGTTATGAATGACGACTGCGATTAGCTACACCGAATTTCGAAAAATAATCATAGAAACTAAACACACAAAAAAAAAAATAAATAAAATAAAAAAGATTTTCACACTACAAAGACCGCTGACAGCGGCAACTAGCGAAGCATGTAAACTCGTCTTTGGCTTAACATTAGCAATAAGCCCCAGAAGGCGCCGCCCTCCCCTCCTCGCATTCCCTCAGGGGGCTTTGACGTTGCGGCTTACCCCAAACGACTTCATTTACATTTTGGGCGTGAGAAGAATGAATGAGGCATGCAAAAATATGACAAACAAAACAGACACACAGATATACTAAGTAAGTATATATATATATACTCTACAAGTGCTGGCCGCATCTTTCCCAGATGCAGCTGCACCTGGTTGGCTTTAATTAGATCTTGTCGTAGTATACTATTTATTCGCACCGGCACCGCCCTTACGGTATCTATGCGGAGATCTACACATCCATATCCCATGTGCTGTTTTAAATTGCGTGCCAAAAACTACATATCTGCCGTCTGATGTAACATTTTTATGCAAGTCCAAGTAAAACTGAGGCGGAACTTGCGAATTTGTATGCACGTCTACATGGGGAAATACCTACATACTTTGAATTTATTTATGTAACAACAAATAAAATCATTGAAAATTTGCTATACCAATTTGGTATTAGGGATTTACCCAAAGCTCGAGCAGCTGGCCATGGTTTTGTGATGGTCGCACAACAATTAAGTTCTTTTCCATTAACGTGCCGTAAATGCCGGCTGATAAGCGACAAGGCTGCCAAAGAGTCGTGTGAAATATTCACACATAACAGTTAAGCATTAAGCATTGCAATAAGAAATTAACTATGTGTGCATGTTTGTATATGGGTATACAAATCCATTGTGAATGGGCAAGGATAATCGTTACTAATTCGAATTGCGAAACCGACAAATCGTTATCGATACTTGTGCCATTTTCACACTTGCTGTCATTTGACAACACTGTTGCCGTTTTAACAGTCTTTGCCAGCGGCTAATTTTCGTTTATTTAAAAAAGAAAGAAAAACAATGACATAAAGTTAAGACCTTGCGTTACAAAACCGTTGATTGTATCAAATCATTACCAACATTTTGGACAACAGATATCATTTTGAATACACGTAAATGTATGCAAAAGCTAGAAATAAGCAAGAAACAAAAAGAAAAAACACACACACACACACAAAAACCAAAACATATACTTAACGATGTGAAAATGTGCAAAACAAAGCATTTGCTTAAATACCAGCAATTAGGCACGCACCCGCACAAGAAAAACATTGTCTTTGCGAATTGGCCACATTCAAGTGACATTTCAATGGAGTCGCCAAATGATTTAATTAAACAACAATTTTTAAGCACACATGAGAAATGTCAATGCCCAGCGGTAAATGCGTAACTTAGCAGCTATCCACATTAACAAAAACCAATTTTTTTTGTTTTGTTGCGGCTATCTAGGAAACTTGATTCGGCCAACAAGCCACCACCTTGGCATTTAAAATGTGGCAAAGTGCAAAAAACAAGCTGCACAACAGGAAGATCGAAAAACAAAATATAAAAAAAAAGACCGTTCAAATTTCTTAATAGAAGCGCCAAAAGCCTCTAAAATAAAGCAACAAAAAACTCGAAACAAAAATAAACAAGTCGCAGCCACAGATTAAATGTTAATAGTAACGGGCTCTCCACACTCGTGAAGCCGGGCAACAGCAAACAGAAAAACCGGATTTGTGGCACAGAACAATGCGCGCATAAATCTCGCGGCACAGTTTGAATGCAATTTACCAAAGCGCCGAATGAGCGATTGTCAGGGATTAACGACATAGCCTCAGCCGCAGCAACAGATGCTGGCTGCAGCCAAGTGGACAGAAGTGAAGCCGCTGGCTGTAATAATCAAATCAAAACTTGACATTGTCTGATGGCGCTTGCTGATTTAATAAAAAGGAAGCAACCGCATGAGAGCGAGAAAGGAGGCTCCCCCCTCCATATTAACGCATATTAAGTGGCACATTGTGTAATGTGTGGCACATGCAAAGACATTGCCACATCTGCGGCTCCAACATACACAACGATCCTACGTGACATGCAGTGAAAGTTAATTTGGCGAAAAATTATGAAATGAAATGTGCTTTCCTTTCGAGTTGCCATTGCCAGCGCATTGTCTGCTTGGGTCGGAAATAAAAACCAGCAGCACACTCGGCGTCTACAAGGTTAATAAATACATCCGATAAAAAGGCGGCGCAGAAAATCCACTTAATCAAATTAAGTAACTGCTCTCTAACGGCGGCTGCCCTGCAATGCCCAGCAAATTGGCGGATAAGGCACAATTCGCTGGCTCATTGTTTGGTGCTCAAGTTTAGAAAGGCCACGGCTCTTGGAAAGGTACACCAAAAAGAGTGCTCCATATGCTGCACAGGTGGTTTGTTTAGTTAATTTTATGTCTAAAAGTTTATTAAACATGCCTCGTGCACACATAGCACATTGTTGTGTGGAGTTTCTTTTGAACGTGCATGTAAAAGTTGAATTTCAAATGTGTATTTTTGTTTTTGTTATTGGTGTTTTGCTGCAGCCAAATCACTGGGTTTTGGTCATTGCAGTTATGTGTATGTGTATGGTTGGTTTGTGGACAGATCGGGCTCATTTCGAGTCGGCCGCGGACTTGGTGGCCGCCTTGATGGTCGCCGCTGAAGTGCGCTTCAAACTGACCAAGACCTGACGTTTCGTTGAGGCTGGGCCGGGTCGATTGGCCTTGGTCACGGCCGCTTTGGGCGTTGCTTTTTTCGGCGCCGCCGCCTCTTTTTTTGCAGCAGGCGTTGCTTTAGGTGTTGTTGTTGTTGTTGTTGTTGTTGGTGGTGGTGGTGTTGTTGTTATTGCTGTAGTTGATTTTTTATCTGCAGCCTTTGTAGCTGTCGGCTTGGTTTCTTTTGGCGCCTCCTCGTCATTTCCATTTGGTTCATCTTTGACATCCTTTAGCTTATTCTTCTCACTGCAATAATGGTTGCACATTATGGGTTGTATGGATGGGTATTAAAATAAATCCAGCTCACCTTTCGATGTCAATATTCAGCACAGATTCATCTTCCTCCTCCTCTTCTTCGTGGCCCAATGGCTCAACTTCGGCCAACAGATCACCCAAATCCTTGTCAACCTCTTCCCACAGTTTTTCATCGTGCGATTCATCAGCATCCTCGCCTTCATATTCCTCATCTTCATCATCCTTGCCGTCCATCTCAATGTCCTCTTCGGCATCAGCTTCGTCAGTATCTTTGGGTATCTTGTTACCCTCCTCATCGACCTCATGGTCGTCATCGTCATCGCCCGCATCAGATTTGGACTTGGCCTTTTCGGCCTCATCTTTGTGGCGCAAATAGTTCTTTATATGCAAGTGCTGCAGGCAATGCTTCTTTGTATACGCATCTAAGGTATCGTCGCCCAGCTTGGTCGAGTAATGATTGCACAATTCGCAATAGAATGCTTCCACAGCCTTGATAAAGTCCAGGCCGATAAGGCCGCGCTTGCGCGTCTCCTCGTCGGTGCTCTTCTGTGCTGTTTCGGCCTCAAGTAACATTGCATCAACATCAGCATCCATGACATCGTCATCGATCTCGCCCACCGAATCGACGGTAAGGAATTTGTTCAAATCAATTTCACGCTCATCAACGCTGTCCTCCGATCCGGACTCGTCGTTACGCGCCTTATTCTATTGACAGTGTGTTCCGTTAATAAATATTGAAAAAGGAAATCCTCTTTCACTCAAAACTCACTCTTATGTGCTCCAGCGAGCAGCGATGGTTCTCATAAAGCATAGCATTCTTGAAGGCCAAATGACAAGAGCCACAGTACGGCATCAAGAACTTCTTGATTGTCTTATGATGCTCCGATGCCTGATGCAGGTTCTTCGGCTGTCGATAGGCTAAGCGGCAAAGCCGGCAATATCGGGACTCATACTCCTCCTTGCTATTCTCCTCAATCTCGCGCTGTGTGGTGCGTTGACGGGCGCGCATGCGCTGCAAATCCGCCCGCTGACGTAAGGCGACAGTACGCATCGAGTTCTTGTGAGTACGCGAGTTCAAATGATAGTGGTATTCCTGTCGAGCATATCAATATAGGTATAAGCTAATTGTTTAAATATACTTATTGATATATATTTGATTGGTGCATCGATTTTGATTTGATAGGTCCCTTTCCACTTACCTTAAAGGTAACGCACTTGATGTGGCAGTGAACACAGGTGAGCTTAATGAAAGTACGCTTGCGCAGATTGTTATGGTCATCGTCGCGATGGCGGGAGGTGGAGGTTGTGCGTCGTTCCTTGCGTTCATCATCACTTTCTTCTTTGTCCTTGCGCGAGGAGCGCTCCTTCTTGCTGGACGATTTCTTCGATTTGGACTCTTTGTCATCGCCGTCCTTGTCTTTTTTCTTACCTGTCGACTTTTCGGCTGTGCCCGATGATTTGCCCTTCTCTTTGGGCTTATCGGCATCACCGGACTCATCGGCCTTGCCCTTGGCCTCCTCATCATCATCATCATCGGAGCCAACAGATTTGGCATTCTTTTTTTCCGATTCATGGCCATCGCCGTGCTCCTGCTCATCGTCCTCATCCTTATCCTTATCATCGTTGGACTTGCCCTCGGCATCTTCGGTTGCCGTTTTGGTGCTACGCTTCTTGCTTGGCGACTTTTTAGTCGTTTCGCTCTTCTTCTCCTCCCCATCGGCGCCATCTTTATCGTCGTTGCCATCGTCTTCGCCATCATCGTCATTGCTTTTCTTCTTCTTTTTATCAGAATCGTCCTCCTTGTCAGCGTTATCAGAGTCATCATTATCGTCACTAGAATTATCGCTGCTGTTCCCTCCCTGGCGTTGGCGTCGCAACGAGCTATACATGGAATTCGAATTGAATTTTTTTTTTGTTTTTTTTTTTGGTTTTTTGTTTTATTTGTTTTTTATATTTGTAGTGAAGGGGGGAGGCGCAAATGCAAATTGTTGTGGTAAGTACACATATATTAAGCAGTAAGCTAACAAATACTTTGTCATAGTGTGTCAGGTGTCGTAGTCTGAATTGATTCTCTACAAGATTATTGAAACAGTGACAACAGTTTACATAGTATGCGAAGATCTCAAATCTCTAGTATCTCGATATAAGAATGGTTTCTTAAGTAAGCCTTTCAATTTGTCAATTTAGCCAATAATAGTTCTTAACCTCGGACTTCTCACTCATATATGTGGCATATTATTATTATAAAATAGTCATAGTGTTCATATCACATATTCATATTGGTAACATAGCCAAATGTCTTTGATGCTCTCTTCAATTGGAGCCCGTCGCCCTTCATTGGCGCATGGCGTATGTGCTTTAAACTATCGTCGGCTTTGAATTTCTTTATAGGATTCATAACTGCCTCACACAGGAAAGCAAAATGCGCTATATACTGGACGACTTTTCTTTTTTTTTTTGTTTGTAATACTTTTTTTTTTTTTGACTAATTACCTTTTCAGCTGTTGGATCTTGAGCAAACGTGCGCGATCTTTCTGCTGAGCATAAAGCAGTTGGCGGCGCATGGTGCGCAGATCATTGGATTCGTTGATGCGCGGCCGCACAATCCGCATGTTGCCAACGCCACGCATGTTGTTGCGCATCATCCCGCCGCGTATGGACATTGAGCCCCGCGGACGTGATATATAATTGGTGCCGGCAACGCTGCGCAACAGCGGGCGCTTTGGCGGGCCCATTGACGACTCGCGCTGATGTCGCTGACTGCCCGAATCATCGCGTGGCCGATACGAGCTTGAACTGCCGCCACCACCGCCGGTGCTGTTCCGTTGATGATAACTGGACGACGATGAGCCCATGTTCTGCGATGACGACGATGGACGATCATTGTGATCATTTGACGAGGACGTGCGACGGTAATCCTATGACGATTGATGAGTAGGAAGGAGTGTAGAGGAGCATTGTTTTTTTTTTTTTGTTTTGATTTGATGTTCGAATACATAGGTAGATATACATATAAATTTCTTGTTTGTGGATGATAAAGAATTGCTATATATATTTATACTTTTATATAGTTATATAAATTGGGTTATCTCAAATGCAATAATCGTTATCCTGTAGCAAGTGTGTGTAGTAGTAGTAGTAGCATGATGAACAAACCTTATACTTTTAGCTATTTAGATGGATTGATTATACAAATATACATGTTAATTGTATATATTTATAGGTATAGATATCTGTTGTCGGAACGGAGACATTGTCTGCTTTTACAGGCATTAAGATATACATATTATATGGGGTATAGACACACAATGCACGCTCTCAATCATGTTTTGATTCAGGTTCGATCGCAGCCATGACTGCACTTTCTATGCATATAAAATATATATATATATGCATATATGTATATATCTCGATCGGTGTGGCAAAATCTTTGCTATATGCGTAGCTGCTGCTGCTATTTATAATATATATGAAATATATATGCAATATAAATTGAGTTCTTGCGTTCTCAAAGTCTTTTTCTCTGACTACTTTGAGTGCACAACTATTTATGTGTGCAATTTCCGTTTACGCTCTAGAATCCGGTGTTAAAACTTCACAAATAGTGCTATAAATATTTGGAAACTCATTAAAATTACACATACAATGACCGCAGTACAGATGCATATGTCTTAAGAAACCTGAAAACTTTTCATTTTTTTTTGGACACATTAACTTTTGTAGGGTCAAAAATAAACTTACGTCTTGACGTGGCCGTTTGCGGTCATCGCTGCGATCCCGTGACGAATCCTGTTCGCCCGGTTGAAAAAAAAAATTAATTTAGAAACGAGCCCAAGATGGGGTTTATTTGAACTCACATAGCTGCGCTTGTGACTGGAGCTGGAGTCATAGCGTCCGCCGGTGCTAGAATTATGATGGTTGTTGAACTTGTCGCGGTTGCGATTGTCATAGTGGTCGTTGTTGGAACCAGCATTGTTGCCACCACTGTATCGATTGTTGTGATAGTTGTTCTCATACCGTCCGTTGTTTGGCCGGTAATTGCCTTGGGTACGAGTGTTCACGTAATTGCTAGAATTGCGGTTGTTGTAGTAGCCGCCGCCGCCGCCACGCATTGTGCCGCCTCCTCGTGGAATGTAGTTGCCGCGACCACGCATTTTGCTATGAAAGCAAACAAACATGCACACAATAAACACAGATTAATGCATAGAATATTCACACTAGCTTTTGCTTTTTTTTTTTTTTTTGTCTAGCGAAGCACCCCGTTACCAGCACGTCGCACCATGCGCCGGCGTCGACAGCGGCAAATAATCGATATTGGTTGCAACACATATTTCGCCTAAAATACAGCACAATATAACTCCGCTTACCTTTTGTATTATTGTATGGAAAATAGCACACTTTAAGTTTTTGGTTTGAAACGTTTGCGCAATGAGATTGCACTTATTTTTTAGATTTATATTTCACAACTGTAGAACAAGCCGTAAACGAAGAAAAAATTTTCCGACAATGGCTAATGTCCTAGGGATGTGCACTTAATTAATCGATAAGCAAGTAAGGAGTTGACATTTATATTAAGGCAGGTTGGCAGTTTCGTAAGTTCAATGTGACCGCATATGGGACCAACACAAAGTAACAATATTTTTTCGGCGTTACCGTACTTCGAAACGGCGCGAAATTGTAATGTTTAAAGATTTTTTTTTTGCTACAATTTACTAGGCGAAACTTGATGTATTCAATTTAACGAGTTGTTAAACGAATCCATTACATACATATGTTCTTTACTCAATAAAAAGCAGCGTAAATGTAAGAAAAGTTAATGCTAAATTAAGTTTTACATATGTTACACAGAAAACTCTACATACTCTTTGGAATGCGCCGCAGCTAATATTGGCAAGAGGGCTTGCATTCACGTTCAGACAACGCCAGTTGGGCGCACATTGGTTGGTGGAGGTGCCCCACTGGGTTTGGTCATCATATCGACTGCGTTTTTAAAGAATTGCGTTTTGACAAAGTCGGTGGCGGCGCTGTTCAAATCTTTGCCTGCGCCGTAGTTACACTTGATATAGCCGTAGAGATTGGCCGCATTAAGTGCTATGGCAATCATGACCAACAACAGCCATTTGAACTTGAGTCCAAACAGTGCCAACAGAAAGAAGAGACCCCAAAACAATGGGCAGAGAATTAGCCCCAACCAGAATATGCGCTGCTCGTGCTTGTTGATACGGCTCTGGTAGGATGGAGACTGCGTTACATTTATCATATCGTTGAAATTCTATTTTATATATTTGGAAATGGCTTACGTTTTTCGACTCGAACACCCAATGCGATTTGCCATCGTCATCAACATAGTTCCACCAACGCAGTCCGACCAGAAGTCTGCCCGATATATTCTTCACTGTCCAGAAGTCGGCGGATAGAAAGAGCACAACGAATACAAAGCTAGTGATGAAGGAGTCACTGAACCAGCCGCAGAACATGTAAATAATGATTGATGCGCCGCGGAAGAACAGGTGAAAGAAGGTGACATACGGATGCCTAGCAGCAGACGCAGGTTAACGCAACGCATACACACATTATACGCTTTTATTGCTTACGTGTATTTCTGGGCCGCAGTGCTGGGATCGCGCATTTCGTCCTCCTCCCCAAATGGTATCGTATCATCGTCTAGCAATGGCACCTGTGCAGAACATTTAGTTAGTTTATGTTTGCAACTTAGTCACAGCCTTTGGGCTTGGATGCGATTAGATGCTTTTAGTGCTTTTAATGTTGTCTGGTTTTTGTGGTGGTTGCAGACGAAACTTCTGCGCATTAGTTGTTAGTGTGGCATACATACATTTCTTACCGTTGCGGATGCCATGATTTAATTGTGGCTTGACTAACTTTTTACTAATTTTAATGAAATATTGCTTAATTATAACTTAATGCATATTTTTTTGCTTGCTGCCTGCGTAGTTGCTTATCGCACTGTGGCAGCATATCGATAAGTTATCGATAATGTGGAGTGCTGGTGTGGCAACGCCAACGTCATAATTGTTTACTTTTTGCTGATAATAGCAGAGAGCGGTCTTCTGAGTGCGAGTTTATTCTCTGCTCCTGCCTTAATTGTTCCATAAATGAGCATTATTGATAAGCATGTCAATAGGCATATATAGAAAGAGCGGCAACCAGCAGTTGCAGCTTACCGAGCGCTTGCTGCATTGGTGTTCACATTGATAAAAAGCGAGTTGATAAGCCAAGCAAACGGAGCGGAAATACAAGTTAAAAGCAGACGGCACAACAACAGAAATCAGTTGCGAGCAAACCGCCCAGCAAAACAGACGTACAAAAATCGCCAAGTGCTTAAGTAGGGAGGCCCGCAAATGAATGAATGAACGTGCGAAGACGACACGACAAGTGCAAGAAACGAGTTACGATAACAACACACAAAGCACAGAAGAAGCGTTCAGATTTAGACGCACTTAAAAAGAGAGACAGACAGAGAAAGAGAGAGAGAGAGGTCAGCGATCTTTAACCAGCTCCAAGCTCCTCCTAAACAGCGTCGGCATCACCATTAGCAGCCCATGCCTTGTGCGTGTGTTATTTTTTAAACAAAACATTAAATAAAACATTCGATTTCAAGGGTAGTGGCAGAAGCAACGTGTGTATATCAGCAGCTAGCCAAGTGATTCAGCTGCTCAGCGTAGACGCAGCCAGCCAGTCAGCCAAGTAATTATCGTGTACAGAGGTGAGTGGCACACACAAATACACACGTTGGCAAGCACCGTTAACTAGAACTCTGCCCATGCATGTACGTGTGCGTGGAGAATTTTGGTGACGTCAATAAGAATTTCGCTCAGTTTGGCCCAATTTTCACTTTCCAGCTCCAGAGCAGTCTTTAGTAGAAGCTTGCAGCGTACGGTTCGAAAATGGCACCACCAACTGTCTTGGTTACGGGTGGCGCGGGCTACATTGGCTCACACACAGTGCTGGAAATGCTGAACGCTGGCTACAATGTCATCTGTGTGGACAATCTGTGCAATGCCTACAGCGGAGGTGCCTCAAAGCTGCCCGAGGCACTGAGTCGTGTACAGGAAATAACCGGCAAAAAGGTTCACTTCTATCGCGTGGACATCACAGATCGCGAGCAAGTGCGCTCCGTCTTCCAGGAGGTGAGTTTTATTAGCCAAAATGGCACGTCAGCAAATCGCCAGCATGTTGATGAATTGGATATATGTGGCACATTTCATACGCCAACCATTCCATCTTGCTTATCACAATTGCTAACGCTATCAGCGCTCAACGTTTGTTTACTCAGCTGGCGCACACTTGCGACGCGTCCCGCGCCAACGATCGCTAAGGCATAGGCGTGACCTCGGTCACATAACTTGGTGTGCTGGCAAGCGACTGCGTCAACATTGACGTTGCACTCGATGCGGCGACAATCTGATTGCCATTATACTAATCTTTAGCTACTGTTTCTATTTTTAGCACAAAATCGACATGGTAGCCCACTTTGCGGCGCTCAAGGCTGTGGGCGAATCCTGCCGCATACCGCTGCAGTACTACCACAATAATATGACGGGCACCAATGTCCTGCTGGAGGCCATGGCCGATAACAATGTATTCAAATTTGTGTACAGCTCGAGCGCCACTGTTTACGGTGAACCCAAGTTTTTGCCTGTTACTGAGGAGCATCCGACGGGCAATTGCACATCACCCTATGGCAAAACCAAATATTTTACAGAGGAAATACTGAAGGATCTGTGCAAGTCAGATAAGGTATGACCAATCCGTAACTCATGTCCTTGTTCTCTTTAAACTAATCATTTTCTATTGGCAGCGCTGGGCAGTTGTCTCTTTGCGCTACTTCAATCCCGTGGGCGCCCACATAAGCGGTCGTATTGGCGAGGATCCCAATGGTGAGCCCAACAATCTGATGCCCTACATTGCCCAGGTGGCAGTTGGCCGTCGTCCAAAGCTCAGTGTCTACGGCAGCGATTTTCCCACCAAGGACGGTACTGGCGTACGTGACTACATACACATTGTGGATCTGGCTGAGGGACATGTCAAGGCCCTGGACAAGCTGCGCAACATTGCTGAAACTGGCTTCTTTGCCTACAATCTGGGCACCGGTGTTGGCTGCTCTGTGCTGGAGCTGGTGCATGCTTTCGAACGTGCTTCCGGCAAGAAGGTCAACTATGAGCTGGTCGATCGGCGTTCAGGAGACGTAGCCACTTGCTATGCGGACGCACAATTGGCATATCGTGCGCTCGGCTGGAAGGCGACACGCGGCATTGATAAAATGTGCGAAGATACGTGGCGCTGGCAGAGTCAGAATCCCAATGGTTATGCCAATAAATAGTTTCTGGCAGTTTCTCATATTGATGCGTTCTTGCCTTTTACGTGGCAAGGTCGTCGTTCCGTAAGCGTGCCACGTTCTTTCTGCTATCCTCTTTTGTTATCAACTGCTTTTTTCGATAAGTTCCTCAAGCGCTCCTCAAACTTCAGTTATTTGTAATTATTCTAATTAGCAAAAAGCGTACAACTAGTTGTTTATAATTTGTTTGTCAGACTTTAAGTGCAAAATGTTACAAAATTTGATGTATGTATGTGTAAACCCAAAGTACATTGTAATAAAAAAACAACAAGCTGCACCTTACGACATTTTTACAAAGATTAGCTGTCGCTACAGTGCGATTGCAAGGTGAAGGTCAAATTCAAGGTAACTGCTTCTAGAGGCAAACATTTATTCAATGCAATTAAACATTTAAAAACTGATTTTAAAAATACTTAATAAATGTGTATACATATTTAAAAAAAAAAAACACATCTGCACAAGTAACGGCATTTATCACAATTATGTAATATTTAGTTTTCAACAACTATGCGTGTTTTTGGAATGCTGCTGATTGTATAAGAGCTGTGGCTTGTTGCATACATACATTCGTATATATCTGACAGGTGTATAAAAGTACAAAATTGTTTATATTTACGTGTGTGATTCACTATTCAATACGGGCTGTGAATGTACATGAGAAATTTGTTCTATACATTTTTGGATGCTTTAGAAATCGTGCAAATATTCAGCCCGTTGTTGAACCTGGCTTATGTTAACATATTGTATATTTTGTTTGTTGCATGTGGCTTGTAGTTGTAATTTGGCAATTTCTTTACACGGTTTCTTGGCAAATCGTACAACGAGCGGAGAATATAACAACCTAGTTCGGGGACTTTAGCTATCAACTTAAGCCAAGACAAAGAAACACAAATTTAACAAGAAGCTTTTCTACTGCGACATTCACATATGCATCTATGTTTTGTTACGAATATAGCTAAATTGTGCACGATATGCATAATGTAAAGGTAAGTATATATGCTTATATATATATATATATATAAATAAGTATTCGAGTAGTTTCCAAAGAGCGCTAATTAGAGATCCTTAGCAATGAGAGGCAGTGAAGTACTAGATAGTAAATTTATATACCGCTTGAATGCTGCTGCTTGTATGGAATTTGGGGACCAGCCAATTTAATTATGTGGATGTGACACCCTTGCGTGCTACTAGCATATTAAGTATCGGGTTTTTCCGTATATAGCTAACTGCCTTTTTATGGGTGACCATTGTGAAGTCGTAGCCGTTGCATTGCAGTATCTTGTCATGTATGCGTAGACCAGCTCGAGCAGCTGGACTACCTTCGTGCACCTCCGTCACATATATGCCCTGGAGCGGTTTTATGGTAGATTAGTATATAGGATCATCCAATATATGATACGTACATAGTCCGTATAGCCTTGTGGGCTCTTCTTGTAGTCCTGATCGATTCCGCCACCTATTTTAAAGCCGCACTTCAATATTTCTCTGCCCTCCTGGTCGTAATCCTTTTCCTTGTGCAGCGTTATGGGTATCTATCGCGGGAAACATCATAAATAATAACTGGGTAACAGTGTGAAAGTCTGTTTATGAGGCATCTCTATGATGCGCGACCCAATTTCACGAACACGAATTACACACGCACACACACACACGCACCCACATACAGGAATAACGCTGTTGCTACCTGTGCATGTGTGAGTGTCTAAAATTTACAACTTACGCTCAAACATTCCATAGCCGTGCCGGCCTGATGCTGAAATGCCATCTTCGCCATGATGTTGTTGTTTTAGTTAAAATTCACTCAAAGAACACGATTAAAATTGTTATTTGCTTGTTATTTTGCGCAAATGAGAAACTGATTTGCCGTCTTCGCGTACAAACACAAATTGCTTATTCTCTACAGCAACACAAATGAGAAGTGTTGGTAAACGCCGAAATCAAGTCAAACAATTATTTGTTGTATGTTTCTTTTATTACATTTACATAAATAAACAATAGCTTGGAATTGATAAAAATATTTCGATTTAGGAACGCCGCATCGCCAACATAGTATTTATTTCCCATATTATTATGCGCGTTCTATCAATAATCTCTCTTAATTGTCGGTTTTTCAGTTTCACAGTTTCGATGAGCTCCTGGTTCTCTTGCAAAACCTTTCGATATTCGTCACATTGCGATGGCTCTATACGCGGATCGGGCTCATCCCTGTAGGGTATTAAACTTTCGGCGTTCATGTAATCCATGCCGGCATCATTACACTTCTCATAGATGATGCGCACCCGTTTGAAGAGCAGCCGTATAGTGCGAAAATATTCCTGAACCTTTTTCTCCGTGTTATTGTCTCTGTGTGATGTGGGTTGTATGTTCTTTAGTGCTGAGAAAACCTCTTGGAATCGAGACGCAATATCCTGCACTGTTTCTTGGCCCAAGCGCGATAGCTGTACTATGTTGATTTCCTTGTGCGGATTCGGTTGAGAAATAGCCAGCATGTTGTTGCCGCCGCCACCTCCGCCAGCTGCACTTGTGCCTGGATTGTGTTGCTGTTGTTGTTGTTGTTGTTGAGGCATATTCGGTTGTTGCTGCTGTGGGCCACCACCTCCACCCATGCCCACTCCCTGCTGTGGACCCATCATTTGCTGTTGCATTGCATTCCCTTGCTGCTGCGGCATATTTGACATCGGTACGCCGACGCCGCCTTGCATCATTTGGTGTTGTTGCTGCATCTGGTGTTGCGGCGACATGCCCATGCCTTGCATTAGACCAGGCGGTCCACCACCAGAACCTGCATTGGGATTGATTTGCATGCTACCGGGTCCGCCCGGTCCACCACCACTCATCATGTTCATTTGGTGCTGCTGTTGTTGTTGCGGCGACATGTGCATGCCTGCTCCTCCCTGCATAAAACCACCCATAGGCATCATGTTCGGTCCCCCGCCACCTTGCGGACTTTGGTTCATCTGATTTTGACCAAATTTCCACATTTTACAAACTATAAAGCCGGAGGCAAATAAAAACAATACAAACTGGCTGTTTACCAGCACTAAACGTAAAAGAGTTGCCACTTATTGAAATATCGAATAAAAGGAACAATCGGCTATCGGGTTTTTATCCAGCCACAGGTATTTATCGGACAAGTTTACGCTGCTTCTGAGTTTTAAATTGTTGGCTACCCAATTTTGGTAGCGCGCTGCGATGGCACGCGAAGATGACAATGGATTTAGTGATTGGGTAAGTTAAAGAAAAGAAAACAATTCAAAGCAGCGTGTAAAATGATTGTTGCAGGGTGGTTACTTTGAAGCGAAAAAGGCAAAACTCGAGGAACAATTTGCGGCCGCTAGCGATCCATTTCGCAAGTCAAATCTCTTTGATGGCATTTCCATTTTTGTCAATGGCCTGACCAATCCATCAGCCGACGAACTCAAGCGCATTATGATGGTACATGGCGGCACATTTCATCACTATGAACGGTCGCACACGAATTTCATCATTGCGTCAAATTTGCCTGATGTGAAGGTGCGTAAAATGGACACCAGCCGGATAATTAGTGCCCAATGGGTAGTTGATTGTGTACAACAGATGCGTATTGTCGACTACAAGCCGTATTTGTTGTATACCAATCAAAAAACGACGCAGCCGCGTCTAAATTTTGGGAAGGCTAAAAACAACGATTCAACAGTGTCCGAAGGATCGGGAACCCTTGAGAGCGCCCTTGGTGGCATACTCAAGGAGCTACAGCAGGCTGTGGCTACTTCCCCAGACAAAAACTCATCCACTGTGACCAATGTGTTCAATACAACGACCAGTACCAGCAACAGCGCACGCACTGCCGTCGACCCAGCGTTCCTCAGTGAGTTCTACAAAAACTCGCGTCTGCATCATATTGCAACGCTTGGTTCCGGTTTCAAGCAATATGTTTGCGAGTTGCGTCAGGCGCATGGCAACAAATCGTTTGTGAAACGCACCGAACTCCGTTCACAACTAGGTTGCAAGCAGCCAGACAATTCAATTACGACTCCAAAACGTTATGTTATGCATATTGACATGGACTGCTTCTTTGTATCCGTGGGTCTGCGGAAGCATCCAGAGATGCGTGGCTTGCCCCTTGCCGTAACACATTCCAAAGGTGGAAGCGCAGCCACCGATGTGCCCGTACATCCACAGGCTGACCGACAAGTTGAACAGGAACTGTTTGCCCAACGTTTTGAGCACCAAAAGCACGACAACATACGAGCGGACAAGGTGCGCTATGGTTTTGAAAAGAAAATGTCGCTGTCGGAGATTGCTTCATGCAGCTACGAGGCTCGCGAAAAGGGCATTAAGAATGGCATGTTTGTTGGCCAGGCGCTCAAGCTGTGCCCCGACCTTAAGACTATCCCTTACGACTTTGAGGGCTATCGCGAGGTAAGCATCGCGTTTGGTTAACGTATCAGGTTCTCTGGTAATAAATGTCTGCTATTTCAGGTGGCCTTTGCTCTGTATGATACTGTGGCACAGTACACGCTCAATATTGAAGCTGTTAGCTGCGATGAAATGTTTGTTGATCTGACGGATTTGTTGCAAGACCTACAAGTCGATGTTATGACGTTTGTGACACATCTGCGCCAGGAGGTGCGCGATAAAACTGGTTGTCCTTGCTCCGCGGGAGTGGGTGAAAATAAGTGAGTATAGCCGCATGACTAGTTGAATTTGGAACTGATCACTCACGTGTACATTGACAGACTGCTGGCTCGCATGGCTACCAAGCTGGCCAAGCCCAATGGACAGCATCTGCTGGACACTGATGATGCGGCTAAATATATGGCGTCCTTTGCATTAGATATCCTGCCTGGTGTGGGTAGCAGCATGACCTATAAGCTCAATCAAGCAGGCCTTATCACATGCGCTGATGTTCAGTTGGTATCGCTGGTGCGCCTGGAAATGCTACTGGGCAAGAAAATGGCACAAACACTGTACCAAAACTGTCGTGGCATTGATCCACGTCCTCTTGTCTATGAACAGGTGAGACTTATCTATCCATATCATCCATATCCATATTATTTAACTATCCATAATATATCCACTTTTCTTTTAGCAACGAAAATCTGTCTCAGCTGAGGTCAATTATGGCATACGT